TGTGCCCTGACCGGGGATCGAACTTGCAACCTAGGTATGTGCCCTGACTGGGAATTGAACCCACAACCTTTTGGTGTATGGAACAACGCTCCAATCAACCGAGCCACGTGGCCAGGGCTGTAGCTCGTAATTTTGTTTGTCTGTTTGTTTGTTAATCCCCACCCAAGTATATTTTTTCCTTTGATTTTTAGAGAGAGTAGAAGGGGAAGGGACGAGCGGGGGTGGGATGGAGAAATATCGATGTGAGAGAGACACATGGATTGGTTGCCTCCCACACGCACCCAGGCCAGGGCCGGGGATTGAACCTGCAACCCAGGCATGTGCTTGGGAATCGAACCTGTGACCCTTTGGTGAGCAGGCTGACACTAGACACTGAGCCACACCAGCTAGGGCTGTAGCTTGTAATTTTGATAGGCTCTTTTAGTGGTTCTGGTAGATGCTCAGTAGATTTTTGCATATTTTCTACCTTTTTACGATATAGAAATACATTTCTTTTGCGTATTCATGCCTCCCCTGCGCCCTATTGACTGGTGGGAAACTCCAGTGCACAATATTGCGTGGAAGTGGTAAGAGCTGACATTTCTGCCTTGTTTTCATGCTTGTGGGGGGAATATTCAGATGTTTACCTTTAAGTATTATGTTAGATTTAAATTCTTTTGGTAACACTTTCTTTATCAGATTGAGGAAGTTCTCTATAATTCTTAGTTTACTAATAGGCTTTTAAAAGTCATAAGTGGGCACTGAATTTCTCAAATGTAGTTTTTCACCTATTTTCCCTTTATTCTATTAATATGGTGAAATACATTTATTCATTGTTGAGTGTTGAACCAACCCTGAATTCCTAGAATAAATGCCGATTTTCAGGATCTATTGTGATTTTTCTATATTATTGGATTCTGTTTGGTAATATTTTAAAAGGATTTTTTTTGCAGTTATGCTCATAAAAGATATTGATGTACAATTTTCTTTTTTGCAATATCTTTGTCAGGTTTTTATACTGATAATATTTCTACTCTCATAACATGAGTTGGAAAAATCCTTCTTTTATTTTGTGAAGTTTGTGTGAATTTTTCTTTATATCTTTGATTGAACTCAACAATGAAATCAGGCAGACCTAGAAATTTCCTTGTTAGAAGGTTTTTGATTACAATACAATTTCTTTACTAGATCTATGGCTATTCAGAATTTCTATTTCCCATTGCCATTTTTAGAATTTGTTTTTTCCCCCCAAAGAATTTATTTTTAAATTTGTCGGCAAAATGTTGTTTCAATGTTTTTGACAAAAGAGTTGTTTGTAATATTCTGTTATTATTAATTATTTACTTAGCTTTATTGAGGTATAATTGAGAAATAAAATTATAAATTTTAAGGCATATAATTTGATGTTTTGATGTATATATACACATTGTGAAATATTTACTGTTGTTAAGATAATATTTCTATCACATTATGTAGTAACTATTTTGTGTGTGTGTTTGTATGGTGAGAACACTTAAACATACACTCAGCAAATTTCACTTATACAGTGCAGTATTGTTAGCTATATTCACCATGTTGTGCATTTGACTTCCAGAACTTACACATTTTGCTTAACTGAGACTTTGTACCCTTTTATTAACATCTCTCCATTTCTTTCACCATCTAGTAGAATCACAATTCTACTTTCTGCTTCTATAAGTTTGACTATTATTTTAATATCTGTATTGGTCTATAGTGTTATTCCTGCTTTGATTTCTGACATGGGATATTTGTGTTTTATGATTTTTATTAGTCTAGCCAGGTGTTTAGAAATTTTATCAATTTCTCAAAGCAGGTAAGGCTGGCCTACTTACTTTTTTCTAATATGTGTGTACTCTCTACTTCTTTGATTTCTGCTCTTATCTTGATTTTATAGTTTTTTCTCTCTGCTGGGATTTTTGTCCTTTTATTCATTGCATGCATACTACTTTCCTTTATGTCCTTAACCACATTTATAATAGCTCCTTTAAAGTCCCTCTGAGCAAATCTAACACTTCCATCATTTTGGTGTTAATTTCCTTTGACTGTTCTGAGGCCAAGTATCAAGTAATTTTAGAGTATAACATGGATATTTGAATATTACCCTATGGTTTCAAGATTCTGTAATATTCTTTCAAAAAGTGTTGATACTTTTGTTTTAGCAAGCAATTAACTTATTTGGTCTCAAACTGAAAATTTGTCTTTCGTGTGGTAGCTCAAATATCAGTTAAGTTCTTTCACCTATATGTGAGCTGTTTGTAACTTTTTTCATACATTCTGCTTTAGGGTTCAGACAGAAACTTTCATATCATATGCACACAGAATTTGAGACCTGTCATTCTGCTTATCATTTTTCTTGGATTCCACCCTTTGATCCTTCATGCAAGAAAGGCTAGATTTTTATTTGAATAGGTGATGTCCTATGTGGCACTGACGTTGACCTGCACTCGGGCTAAAATTGGTCTAGAGTGAAACTCATCACCCCATCTCTTCTTCCAAGTTTTGTCTTTTCTTTTAATCCTCACCTGAGGATACTTTTTCCATTACTTTACAGAGAGTGGAAGGGAGAGTGAGAGAGAGACATCAATATGAGAGAGACACAATGATTGATTGCCTCCTGCATGCACCCGGGACCCTTCAGTCTGTGGGCTGATGCTCTAACCACCAAGCCAAACCCACTAGGGCTCTTCTCCCCAGTTTTGACTCCCCTTCAGTATCTGCCCATTTTTGTTCACTCTCCAGTTCTTCTGATCATTGTGTATTTAGTTTGTTCAGTTTCTGTTGTTAACATGTGGATAGGTTGAATGCTTAATTTGTGATGCTGGAAGTGGAATTGTCTCATTCAAATAATTATTTCAAATATTGCATTTTTCCATTCTAATTTCCATTAGTTTTTGAAAATTTTATACCTATTTAAAAATTATTCCTTGCCTTAGCTGATTTGGCTCAGTGGTTAGAGCGTTGGCCTGTGGACTGAAGGGTCTGGGTTCGATTCCAGTCAGGGGCACAAACCTCAGTTGCAGGCTCTATCCCCGGCCCCAGTCGGGGCAGGTGCAGGAGGCAACCAATTGATGTGTCTCTCTCACATTGATATTTCTCTTTCTCTTTTCCACTTTCTCTGAAAAGAAATGGGAAAAATATCCTTGGGTGAAGATTAAAAAAATTATTCCTCACTTTATTCATTATATCCATCTTTCTCTCTAGATTATTAAACAGATTCATAATAGTTATTTTATAGTATGTATCTGCCAATTCCAGTATCCTCATTGCGTGGATCTTTCTATTGGTTGTGTTCTTTGGCTATGGGATATATTTTTTCTGCTTCATATCTAGTAATTTTGATTAGGCATTGGGCATTGTGGCTAGTATATTGTAGAAAATCTGTATTCTATTATGATATTTCTCTAAAGAGTATTGAGCTTTGTTTTAGCAAGCAGTCAGATTACTGCAAGTCATTTGTACCCTGCTGAGTCATGGTACTATGCTTTATAAAGGTGGTTTTATTTTAGTTATGCCCTTTGATCTGAAAGTAACCCTCTGGCTTAGAATGTAGTCCTTAATCTTATAGCAAGGACTTTTAAGAGTTGAAATAAAAAGTCCAGTGCTTATCAAACTCATATAACTTGGGAGAAACTTGAGCAACAAACTCTGTCTGCTTAGGACTCCACAGGACTACTTCTGAAATACCAGCTCAGCTCTTTCAGAATGACAGCTCTTCTCTCAGTTGCCACCGACCTCCTTGCAGTCATGCTTGCATGTGCAGACTTAGGTTCAGCCACATATTCTGAAGTTTGCAGATTCGGATCTCTCCACTCTGTGGCTTGCTCTTCCAGGATTTCTTTCTCAATATCCTGGTATTTCGCAGCCCCAATCTCTTAGACTTCCCAGCCCAAGATTGTCACTCTCTGCTTATGCTCTAATTCCCAAGCACCTCATTCACTGGGGAGTAGGTTCAAGAGAATATATGTGCATAAATGTGGTTTTACCTATTATGCTGCCCTTATTTTCAGGGTTTTATTTCTTCCTGCTTTTTCTGCTTTGCGTTCCCTTCCAGTACCTTCAAACAGTTGTTTTAATTGTTAATGTGAGAAGAGGTAAAATGCTACCAGTTTACTCTGATTTTATCATAAGTTAGGAATGTACGCACAATTTTGTATCTTACCTTTTTTACTTAATATTTTCATGTAAGTATTTTTCACTTTATTAAAGCATTCTCCATAAATATCTCTAATAACTTAAGAAAAACCCTGTGTGTGAATAAATATATCATCATTTATTTGGATATTGTGTTATTTCATGGAGTCATACATTTGAATGTTAAATAGAGAGCTGCAGTAAACACTTTTCTGCATAAACATTTGTGAAATTTTCTAGTTGTTTGGGAGAGTTTTTCAAGGGTTAAATTAATATAGATTGTTAAGCCTTTCTTGAATTTCCCCCACCATTTTAAAATAATCAATTGGTAACTTTATGTATAATATTTATGAATTTCTAGTTTTCTAGGTTGGTGTTATTAGCAGTGGATTCCTTTAACAATTTAATAGAACACAAGTTCTCAGAGGGCATATGTCAAAGTTTTTGTTCCTTTTTTTAAAATTTCAAATTGACTTTGGTTTTCATATGCTTATTAACATATATTGAGTTTCTTAAATATATCAATACACTGAAACAGAATGAAAGTATGAGATTTTTTCTATGAAAAAAATAATTTATTATTTTTGAGTAATGGACTTTCTTGTGGTATTTTTTAAATTTCCTATTTTTAAATTTCAAAATGTCTCTTTGAGTGTGATCACAGACAGATTCACTATTTATAAAAATGACAGCAAAATCTATGTGCCTGAACAAAAGCTTCTTTGTTCCCAAATTTACTTTATTTGCATCTTGCCTGAGGTATGATAACCAAATGATAATAATTCTAATTTCTTAGAAATTTTGTAACTATCTTTTCAAATGATATTTCGTATTCTAATTAAAATCTTTTAACATGTGTTTTCTTTAAGCAAAGAGAAGATAATATCCGTTGCTTAACTATGCTTGGTCATTTTGGTTTTGAATGTTTGCCTCATCAGTTGGTGAATAGATCTATTGAACAAGGATTCTCTTTTAATATTCTCTGTGTGGGTAAGTGCTAAACTTCTCTGAATTATTACTTAATTTTTCCAAATGTTCATTTCAACTTATCTTCAGCAGTGCAACATTGGCGTTAATTCAAGAACGTATCTTCTTAGCCATATTACTTAAACACTTTTTCTTCAAATACTCTTCCAAATCGTATACAACTTTGTGTATATTTTCTTTCTATATTATGCTAATGACTGAAGGTGTCAGGAGTAGCATGTGTATTTTCAAGGACATCACTGTCTTTGAAGTATGTGGGACCCTTTAAACCACCCTAGGGATGTAGAGTGTCACTTCTCAGCCATGTATGCCCCTATATGATGTGTCTATGTTTATTACAGGGGAAACTGGACTTGGAAAATCAACACTGATGGACACACTGTTTAATACTAATTTGAAAGAAAAAATGTCCTCACATTTTCACCCAAATGTTGAACTTAAAATTCAGACATATCAACTACAGGAAAGCAATGTTCAGTTGAAATTAACTGTTGTGAACACAGTGGGATATGGTGATCAAATGAGCAAAGAAGCCAGGTTAGTGTGTTCTTATTTTAATTAAAAGTTTTTCTTATTTCAAGGAATTTGCCTTCTTTCTCCATGGACTACATTGTAATATTCTTCTAAGGCAATTATAACCTTTCCTCCCAGATTTTAATTCTTTCTAATTAAGTAATGTTCTCTTATTATGAAATTGATAATTTTGTATCCAGCTGTCTGATTTTCTTATAATATTTTAAAAATTATAGTAAAAATTTGTTGATGTAGTTTCTATTAGTTTTAGCTTATTTCCTTATTTCTCCTCTGGTATTATGATGAGACTTTATAGTTTCTATATCAGATTTAAACTGTGTAAGAGGAACATCAATAGGTCTAGATTTTTACTCCTTTTTGAAATAGATGCATATTGTTTATTATATGTTATTGTTCCAGTTAGCTAAAGTTAGTTACTTAAGAGTGAATATATTTTTCATATGTTGACTTGTTTTGTGTGACTTATGTTAGTTATATGCAGTGGTGTGCTGAAACTGGCTCCAGCAAGCTTGTGAGAGTATATTGTACTACTCTTTCATCAATTCTGTGTTCAATAGCACGATTCAGGTAGCTTGAAATAGGCCAGGTGGGAGAATTCATGCCACAGAAATCAGTAAATGCTACAAATCATTTTTTTCCAGAGAACCACGCTTTAAACATTTACCAGAATGCCGCTGGATAAAGACAGACCTTTAAACAAATGCTCAAGTCTAAGTTAAACGTGAAAATATTTTTTGTGAAACTTATGAAAATAATAGACAGTGGTAAAAGGGCTGAAACATTGCTTTAAATAATTATTAACATTTAGAAAATGAATATTACCATAGTACTAATAGTAATACTTCTGAAAGTATATATATATATTTTAATAGAGGATTAAGCTTAGGGTCAGTATGCTCAATGTGCCGAATTTTGTTGTATTGTGTAATAAGCTCCACAATAGGTTGTGCCTCCTGTATTAATTTCCTCAGTCTGCTTAACAAATTACCATAAACTTGGAGGCTTAAAACAACAGAAACTTATTCTATCACAGTTCAGGAGGCTCGAAGTCCAAAATCAAGGTGTTGGGAGGGCCACACCCCATCAGGAGGCTCTAGAGGAGAAAGAATCTACTTTCTTGCTTTTAAAAAAAATTTACTGATTTTTTTTAGAGAGAGAGAGGAAGGGAGAAGGGAGAAACACTGATGTGAGAGAGCATTATCAACTGGCTGCCTCCTGCATGCCCCACACTGGGGATCGAGAGTCGAACCCGGCAACCTTTCAGCACACGGGATGATGCCTAACCAACTGAACCACACCGGCCAGGGCTGTACAATGATTCTCTAGTTGGGTTCCCTGATGATTAGAGAGGCTGTGTAATTTTTCAAGAATACCACAGAGTTGGTTTGCCTTTCTTGGTGTATCATAACAGTGGATACATTCTGTGGATTTGTCTCATTGCTAGTGCTGTTAACCTGGATTAAGATTAAGAGATTATCTACAGGGTTTTTCAACTGTTATAATATGTTATAATTCTCACCTTTGTAATGAATAAACAACTTGGGAAATGATACTTTGAGGCTATGAAAATATCCTATTTCTCCTAAAATTTTCACCTGTTCTTTTAAGCATCCATTGTGTAGCAATTATTGCTGTAGTGTTTGGATGTTGAATCTGTATTTTTCTAATTCCTCCTACATTTATTAATTGGAAGTCTTCTCTAAGGGAGAGTTTTCTTTTCTCATTTATTTATTTTTCAATTATTTACTTATCTAAGTTAAATTTCAGGATATGTATTTTGTGAGTTATAATACAAAACTGTAGATATTCATTTAGTTGCTCAAATTTTTTCAGTCTTGGCTATTGGGGGCTCTTTCAGTGAGCTTTCAGTTAATTCCTAGGCCCTTTTGACATGCCCACCAACCTTTTTTCCAGAAATTTTAACTTCGAGATAGTTTAATGTTTACAGGAGCATTGCCCAAACAGGTAATTTTTGTACACACTTCGCCCAGCTTCCCTTATCTTTACATGTTTACAATTGTTCCTATGGAAAATAATACAAGAATTAACAAATAATGATACAAGAGTAAACTCTGTGTTTCAGGTTCTCACAATTGTAAACCTACTTTTGCCCCACCCTGTGTATATGTATCACATTTCCTTGGTGGTAACTTCTTTCCCCAACAGTGAGAACTGTGGATTCCCATATCTACAATGTATTCAAATGTTCATTTAACCTTAGTGTGCACATTAAGTAGTGTTAGACCTGTTGGCCACCTCCTTGTTAGAAATAAATTTACTAAGAAGAATACAGTGTTTGCGTCCAGTTCTTTTTGTTCTTTGCCCTACTGTAGTCGGTTAAAATACTGGCTTGTTTACTTTGGTAAGTTCTTCCTCACCACTGTCATTATGGTTATGAAATTTATGTGAAATAGAGTTATGTCCACTTTTTATAGTTTTATTTCATTTCCATTCCTCCCCATGTTTGGGAAATTCTCAGCTATTATATTTTTAAATAAACTCTCTGCCTCCTTCTCTCTCTTTTCTCCTTCTGAAACTCTAATTTTTCTAACATCTGTATTTTTTATGGAGTTCCTTGGATCACATTGACTTTCTTCACTCTTTTTCATTATTTTTTGTTGTTGTTCCTTTCTGAGTGGGTTATTTCAGAGTTCCTATTCTATAGCTCACTGATTCTATTTCCCATTTGGTCTCCTCTGATGTAGATGCTCTCTATCACATTTTCCATTTCATTCATTGAATTCTTAAGCTCCAGAAATTCTGTTTGGATCATTTATATGAGTTCTATCTCTTTATTAAATTTCTCATGTTTCACAAGTATTGTTTTCCTGATTTCATGGAGTCATCTTTCTGTGTTTTCTTATATCTCATTGAGTTTCATTAAAACAGTTATTTTGAAATCTTTATCAGATAGATTGCAAAATTCTGAGCCTTTGATTCAATTACTAGAGGATAATTGTTATCTTTTGGTGATATGCTTCCTTGAGCCTTCACGTTCCTTGGATTTTTGCATTGCTGCTTACACATTTGAAGTAGCAGACACATCCTCAAATATTTATTAGTTGCAGTCAGATGCAACATACTGTTCATTGGTCCTGTTGTATCTGGGGCTTTCTACAACTTTGTATGATATCCCAGCTGCACACTTCTTTCTCACTATTCTGGAAAAAGTCTTAAGATTTTACCTCTCTAGTTCTTACAGCTCACATGTTTGGCTGCTGGAAATTTCTCTCTTTTTTTCTATAAAGCATTTTTAGAAATGCTTTATAGAAAGTTGTTTCTCCCCTGTTCACAGACCCTGGTCTGATTTTCCTGAGCACATTTCATCTGCCAGATTTCACTCTTGCAACTGCACTGGACAGTGTGCACGCAGAGCCAGCTGCAGAATGAGGAGATGTGTGAGTTTAACACTTGGCCTTTGGAAGTGCCTACAGGCCCAGTGTGGGGATCAGAAACAGAGTTTTTCCCAGAATTTCGTAAGTGAGCTTCCTGCTGAAGTCCTGAGCCTAGTCAGCAGGGACCATGACCCTTTAATATTTACACTTTGATATTTTTATCTGTCTCTTTCCTAATCTCTTCCCTCGCTCCATTATGGAGTTTCTGTCTCAATATTCTGGGTGTCACTGGAGAAAAAATGTATTTCTCTACAGTTGCTGGGCACTTACTCCCTTTGCCTTGTGGAAGAGATTGCTGCCGGCTATTTTAGTCCCAGGCTGTGCTGCCTTGAGGGAAGGTTGACGCTGGCAAAGTTCCTCTTACCTTCTCCTGCATCCAAATTTATTCTTTTTTTCTATGCTCCGATAGAATCTCCCATCTTGATTGCTGAACTTCTACAAATATCTTTTATCTGTTGGTGTATGCTCAAGTAAACACACTCCAGTTTCTCCCTGACTGCATGAAAGAGGGGTTGGGGCAGGTTTGCTGGCTTCTGCTGGTTCCACAGCTTGTAGGGAGGTGGGTCTGGCTATTACCGGGTGTGCAGTTGGGCAAAACTCCTCCTGGTTCCCTGGCATATGGTGCTGGGTTCCACAAATCCCACAGAGGTACCTTTGTTAGTGGATAGATCAGATTTTCAGTTGTTAAAAAGCGGGGAAGTATTCATTGCCATGATTATGATGTCACTCTTCTGAAATTTTACATATAGTAAAACTTACTTTTATGGTGTATATTTCTGTGGGTTTTTAAAAAATTGAACTTATTGGTGTGACATTGGTTAATAAAACCATACAAGTTTCAAATGTAGGTTTTGTTGTTTTGGTTTTTTTTTTACTTTTTTTAAAATGTAGGTTTTTAAGTTGGGTAGAGCTGCATATCCACTGTCTTAGTTATGACATGGAAAAGTTCTATCACATTCAAAATTCTCTGGTGCTTTAGTCCATCTATTCTTGTGTTGCTACCACACTGTATTATTCCAGCCTCATAATAAGACCCGACATATGAAACATATCTCTTTGGTTTCCTTCAATCTACATATATATATACACATATACTTTTATGTATATACACACACACACACACACACACACATATATGTATAAATAAATTTGTTTCTGTTTGGGATTACATTGAATTGAAAGATCATTTTGCCTTTCTATAAACAATGTAAAACATGGGCCTTTATTGGCTTGTGACTGTTACCTTTGCAAGAGTGTTGTGCACATTTTTATTTATATGACAAACTGTTGAGTACACATTAACTATTTATTAAATGGTAAAAATGTAGACTTCAGATGTTATTACTGTGTTATGCTAAATGTTTAAATAATCATTTTTCAGCTACCAACCAATAGTTGGCTACATAGATGCTCAATTTGAGGCCTACTTTCAAGAAGAGCTGAAAATCAAACGTTCCTTTGTTGACTACCATGATTCTCGCATCCACGTGTGCCTTTACTTCATTTCACCTACAGGACATTCTCTGAAGGCCCTTGATCTCTTAACCTTGAAGAACATTGACAGTAAGGTGTGCTTGGTAAATCTATCAACCTATCAAGATTTGATAATTATTTTGACATAGTATGTATCTTGAAGGCATTCTCATACAAGAACTTATTTTGTAATATGTGCATATATCATATTTTTTTCTGTAAATTTTTATAGCATTTGTATTAGTTTCCTAAGAAAACTATTACAAAACAGAAATTAATTTTTTCACAGTTCTCAGTGCTGGAAGTTCAAGATCAAGGTGTTGCCAAATTTTGTTTCTTCTGAAACCTTTCCCCTTCCGTGGCAGATGGCTGACTTCTCACTGTGTTCTCACATGATCTTTCCTTTATGCACACATCTGGTGTTTCTTTGTGTGTCCAAATTTCCCCTTTTTATAAGGACACCAGTAAGATAGGATTAGGGTCCATTCTAATGGCCTTACTTTAACTTAATCACCCTTTTAAAGATTATATTTCCAAACACAGTCCATTCGGAGATATTAGGGGTTAGGGCTTCAGCATATGCATGTGGGGAGGAGAGACATAGTCCAAAACAACATGTAATAAATTTAAATCTTACCTGGCTTTCTAGAGAAATTTAATTAGAAAATGCATTAAGATAACGAGGTGCTGGTAAAAAAATTAAAACAATATATATAAATTTAGCTTTTCTTGTGATTAAATGGTAATTCAGTCTGTGGTTATTTGCCCATATTTTTGAAATTGAAATTACTCTATAGTATTATAAAATAACCCAATTAACACTTATCTGGTACCACTGATGTTTTGAAACATGAAGTTTTCATGATTCTGGCTATTGGTCCTATCAGGCAGGATGCAGAGTGCAACATATGTGTTTTTCCAACAGAGCGTCAAATTACATACAAAAGAAACGTATGTCATGATATTCTTTTCTGCACTGAGCCCTGATTAAACATACTGTTTTCAACTTTATTCAGTTGTAGAGAGGAACAGTTCTAAAACTGGGGAGGGGGTATCAAAGAAGGCCTGACTTTTACTATGTATTGTTCAAACTAGAAAGAAATTTTGTACTTAATCTCATATATCACCAAGTCGTTTAAAGAAGCTATAATTTTAGTTAAAATTAAGAGTTGCCTTAGTTTCTCAATTTGTAGCATATTCAATAAGCAGGGACACACAGTTTGTTTTTAATCTTAAGGGCATCTGTAATTATCAAGCTATTTCCAGATACAGGAAATGGCTCATTTTTGCAAGGACCATTACATAAAGGGGTGGGCAAGAGTGCGGGTATGGCTATTGTCTTCTCTCCCAGGTTGATCAGCTTTCCTTGCAATAAGTGACTTTTATTCCTCAAATCTGGACACCTGAGGAATTATTAACATAGAAATTTTTCATTTCTTATGTGCCAATGATTTACTGTCACTGGAGAGTATCTTTTCCCAGCTTTGTCACCAATACAACCCAATGCATTTATGTTGGACTTAAATCTACCTTAGCAGCTGTCTGCTTTTTACTGTGGATGCTAATGTTTAAATATACCAAAATTAGACATTTTGAACATCTCTGTTACAACATTGAAGCCTTAGATTGGAACAAGGTGTTCGTGGTTTTTTTTTTAAAATGTACTTTGAAGAATCTAAAATAAGAGCAATATATTTAAAACTGACTTTTACACATTCCTACTTATATCACAAAACTTGACAGTGTATAGTTTTGCTTTAATGAGGTATCTTATTGTAACAGTAATAAAACATTTTAGAATTCAGCATATTGTTATTTTCTACAAAGTTTAATTATTAAGCTATAAATACAAGGAGACGGGAATAATTATATTTTAGAACTAGGAAGAAAATGTTATGAATAAATTTCAACCCCAAATATACTGTATAGAAATAATTCCTTTTTACAAATGACAAATAAACATACTTGTTAGCGAGATGCTGTAGACATACCTACACACACATTCAGCCTCTAGTGTCTGGTAACAAAAAAAAAGCCTGTTATTTTTAGGTGGTCTTTGGAAAACACAAGCAAATCTCTCTGCAAAGATATCTAGGTAGAACAAGGATCTATTCCAATGCAACTCTGATTTAGATGAAGTTATGAAGACAGTGATGCGAATGAGTGACAGGTAGAGGACAAGTTGTTCTATGATTTTTAAAAAATATCTTTATTGATTTCATCGAGAGGAAGGGAGAGGGTGAGAGAGAGAGAGAAACATCAGTGATGAGAGTGAGTCATTGATCAGCCGCCTCCTGCACGCCCCCTGCTGGGGATCGAGCCTGCAACCCGGGCATGTGCCCTGACCGGGAATCGAACCGCAACCTCCTGGATCCTAGGCCGACGCTCAACCGCTGAGCCACGCCCTGTGGGGCTGTTTTATGATTTTGATGAAAGGTTTCTTCTGCTTTTTAGCACTCAGTTAAATAAGAAATCAAATTGCTAACAAATTAAATAGATTACATCATCTTACCACTTACATTTTACTAACTCCTGATGTGTTAGAAATAGAAGAGAGTTTGAGAAAACAACAAAAATTGACTTCTAAACCTGAATTCTCATAAAAATGTATCTTCCAAAGTACTGAGTATTTTGGAAGGCAACATTGTGAGGAAGGCATTATAGTCAGTGATTATCTAGTAACAGATATTTGCTGTCGGATATTGTGAGGTTTTGACTGTAAACGTTCCAGGATTAACAACAAATCCTCAATGGTGAGACTTTGTTTCCTTCTTTCTTAATAGGTGAATGTTATACCACTGATTGCCAAAGCAGATACAATTTGTAAAAGTGATTTACAGGCATTTAAGTATAAGATAATGAACGAATTGATTAGTAATGGCATCCAGATATATCAGTTCCCAACAGATGAAAAAACTACTGCTCAAGCGAACTCCTCAATGAATGTAAGCTTCTATTAAATATTAATTCTGTTTTACATGTGGAAATCAAATATTATCTACAAGTCACAATATTAGTAATATACTGTCACTTGTATCTGACCAAGAGACTATAAATAAGGTATTTCCCCCAAATCCAGTCTGAGAAATGTTTTATTTATTTTTTTAAAAGATTTTTTTGTTGATTTTTAGAGAGAGAGAAAGGGAGAGGGAGAGAGAGAAAAACATTAATGTGAAAGTGAAACAATGATTGGCTGCCTCCTGCACACCCTCCACCAGGGCTCGAGCCCTGGTGCCCTGACAGGAAATTCAACCGGAACTGGCAACCTTTCGGTGCACAGTGCACAGGACAGCGCTCAACCAACCGAGCCACACTGGCCAGGGCAATGTTTTATTTTTTTGATTTTGAAAAGTGTTCACTGAGAATCAACTCTGTTTTTTTAACAGCTTTATGGAGATATAGTTTACATACCTATGATTCACTCATTAAAGTATATAATTCAATAATTTTTAGTCTGTTTACAGATTTGTACAGCCATCACCACAATCAATGCTGGACACATCTTTATCACCTCAAAAATAAACCTCGTACAGTCAGCCCTTCTCCCCTACCACCGCCTGTGAGCTCTCCTCTCCACCAGCCCTAGGTGACCACACATCAGATTCTTTCCCTGTAGGTTTCTCTGATCTGGACATATAATATGGATGGAATTGTACGATTTTGGTCTTTTCATATGCTTATTGGCTATTAGTATATCTTCCCAAGAGATATGTTTACTCAGATCCTTCTCCCATTTAAAAAAAATTAAAAAAAAAAGGTCTTTATTAATTTCAGAGAGAGGAAAGGAGAGAGAGAGAGAAACATCAATGATGAGAGTCATTGATCGACTGCCTCCTGCATGCCCCCTGCTGGGGATCGAGCCCACAACCCGGGCATGTGCCCTGACCGGGAATCTAACCCCAATCTCCTGGATCCTAGGTTGATGTGCAACTGCTGAGCCACGCCTGGCCGGGCTCTCCCGTTTTTTAAATTGTGCTTCCCCCCACCCCCTTTTTATTGTTATCTTTTTGGATTCTTCTTCTTCTTCTTTTTTAACTGTTCCCATTGGATGTTTTCTACCCTGTCTTCTAAGTTGCTGATTTCATCTCATCTACTGTCGATTCCCTCTAATGTATTCTTCGTTTTAGTTATTGTATTCTCCTTTCTGACTGGTTCTTTTTAATGTTTCTATCTTCTTTTTTTATGCTTCCTATCTCTTTGTTGAGGTTCTCACTGAGTTTCTTCAGCATCCTTATAACTAATGTTTTGAACTCTGTATCTGGTAGATTGCTTGCCTACATTTTGTTTAGGTTCATTTTTCTGGAGTTCTGTTCTGTGCTTTCGTTTAGAACGTTTCTTATCTCCTCATTTTGGCTGCCTCCCTGTGCTTGTTTCTATGCATTAGGTAAGAGTTACTATGTCTTTCAGCCTTGATAGAGTGACCTTATGTAGTAGGTGTCCTATGGAGCCGAATGGCGCAGTCTCCATGGTCACCTGAGTGGGGTGCTCCAAGAGTGTCTGTTGGGGTTGTGTATGCCTTGCTGTTGAGGTTGAGCCTTGATTGCTTTTGACACCTCAAGGGGAAGGATTGAACCTCAGGCTGATTGGCCGTAAGGACAGACCGTGACTATAGTGGAGGAGCTGACCCCACTGAGCAGGATTCAGTTTAGTGGGGCTCTGTTTTCTGCTGAGTCTGCCCTTTAGATGTGTCATTTGTGGAGATCGTTGGGTGGTGCTCTGGTGTGGTGGTCTGAAGCTGGCCACCTGGCGTGTTGGTTTTGGGGCCTTTTGGCAGGACACTGCCTGTGCCCTGTCCAAGGCCACTTAGTATGAGCTACAAAGTGATCTGCAAATGGTTATTACTTGTCCTGGGCTTAGAGGAACCTGGGAGAGGCTAAGCTGCAAACTGAGGCCAGCTGCCATTAGTTCCAGGCTTGGGGGCTTCTTAGTAAGAGGCATGGGGCACACTGAAGCCAAATGTTGCTTGTTTTGGGCTTGCAAACATTTGAGAGATTTTAGGAAGTTTGCAGCATGAGCCAAGATAGGCTATTTGTATGAAAAAGTCACTGTAAATGGCTTGGGTGGGTGGGCAAGTTAGGCGGGATGAGGTCTCAGGAACTCACCAAGGCCAGGGAACAGGGTGAGCCAGGCTGATGGAGACTCAGATATGGCGCCTTCAGGCTGCAGGTGAGCAGAAGGCTCAGCAGAGGAACGATGGCTTCTGCCAGCACTTCTGTCTGGGAGAAAGCTACCCCTTCAGCCCTCACCCTAACGCCACACAATTCAGTTCTGCCCTGTGTGTATGTCCCTGGCGCCTTTCAAGCTGCGGCCCCAGTGAGTCCGCGCCCGCCCTTTCCGAGGCAGGCCTGGGACGCCAGCAGCCCTCCGTCTCACTCAGCCACGGTCCCTGCTGGTTTTCACAGCCAGAAGCTGTGGGGGCTTCTCCTCTCGGCACTGGAACCCTGGGCTGGGGGACCCCTGTGTGCGGCTGGGACCCCTTGCTCCTAGGGCAGAACCCCTGCCGCTGAGATATCCTCCCAGTTCTCAACTGCCACGCGGAGGGGTGGGCAGCTCGCTCTGCGCCTTCACCCCCGCCCGTCTCACGTGGGTTCCTATTGATATCCTCAGTTATAGGCCGTCCGCCCAGCTAGTCTTCAGATGGGTCTATCATTTAGTTGTAATTTTGAAGTGGAAACATGATTACAGTTGTCTTTCCTTTGTAGGAACACTTACCTTTCGCTGTGGTGGGGTGTCTGGATGAGGTGAAAGTTGGCAAAAGGATGGTGAGAGGCCGGCAGTACCCTTGGGGAGTTTTACAAGGTAAATGTGGTAGTGAGCAGGCTTGCTCTGGACTGGATATGTGTATACAACATATGGTGTATATATAATATATATATATAATATATATATAATGATATATATATATAATGATATATATTATATATATATAATGATATATACTATCAATATCCTATATATAGTATATGAATATTATCATGGTTTCAAAATATCATTTTAACTTGAGCCAATCTTGGTAACTGTTGCTAAACAGTAAAGTAACAGTTACTAATCAGGAGCACAGATTCTGTTTCATTTAGGCTAACGCTTACTTTGATTACAGCATATTCTCATAGGAATTTGCTGGATGGTGCTTTAGGTAGAAATCCACAGAGGCTGGACAGAACCTCCCCCTTTACACATTTGCCACCTGCGTATTATCTCCTTACGCAGGAACCATCACATTCAGAATGTTGGAAAGGGCTTTGCACAAAAGAACTTTGAACATATTGAAGCCTAAATAATAGTGCCTAAAACATGTTATATAAATTAGTTACTGCCTAAGTTATAAAACATTTTAAAGTGGTCACTAGATAAAAGGATTGTAATTAAAAAAATAAATAAATAAATATAATTTACCTTTGGATTATACCTAGACATCCATATTTGCTGTCTAGCATCATGATGAGTTGGAGTGTTGTAATAGCCAGTCATTTGTTGTCTAGTTTATATGCTTGTAGTACTGATTATTAGGGATTGGATTATCTCTACTTGTACTAGTTTCCAAATGTTTTTAAAATTGATGTATTAGAAAAATTTAAATTTATAAAACATAGTTAAAAAGAACATATTTTAATGAATATTAAATTTGGTTACAATATCAAACACAAGACACAATATGTTGTGCTCAGTCTTCTGGATGTAACAAACACAGGAGAGAGCCATGTGAATTTATTGATTTATTTTAAATATTGACTAATTTGATCTCATAAATATCTTGTATAAATAAAATATGATAGCTTAAGCATGTACAATTATAAAGATCTTTATGTTAGCAGGATTTAACTTAATGAAATTATTTACTTTATGAAATTATACTAATTCTTTGTTAGCATTCTGTAAAAACCTTGAGGGTAGTTTGTATATTAACATAATTATTAAAGAAAACATATGCCATATATTAATATGATATAATGTTATTTTACCGTTTCATATTTATTTTTTGCTTAATAAATTTAAAATAAATTTCCTGGTCTATTAATAAACCCTGTCTATAACTGGTATGTACTACATAAACATGGTTACATGGTTTAAACAATTTTAGCTACTCATCAGAATGATCTCTTAGCTGCTATTTTAAACATTTTCCATGCATACATTTATTCAATAAAACTCACTGAGTGCCAGAGGTTGATCATGTGTTGTGGCTTTATTATTTCTCTGTCCAGTGGAAAATGAAAATCACTGTGACTTTGTTAAGCTCCGGGATATGCTTCTTTGTACAAATACGGAAAACCTGAAAGAACAAACCCACACTCTGCACTATGAACGGTACAGGCGCTTCAAACTGCAGAAAATTGGCTTCACTGATGTGGGCCCAGACAACCAGCCAATTAGGTGAGTAGCGATCTTGCCAGGGCTCTGTTTTCCATATGCTCTTCCATTCAGCATTGCACCTGCCTAAGTTTTACATCTCATGATACAGAAATTTCCAGTTCTATACATGGGAGAATATTGGTAAATGTTCTCACATGGGACTTAATTTATAATATATATTTTTACGTGTTGGTTTATATTAGCATTTTTATATAAAACGAATAAAAATTCCTTTTTAGTTTTCAAGAGATCTATGAAGCCAAAAGACAGGAGTTCTACAGCCAATGCCAGAGGGAAGAAGAAGACTTGAAATATAAGTTTATGCAGCGAGTGAAGGAGAAGGAAATAGCGTTTAAAGAAGCTGAAAAGGAAGCAAGTACTTCTAGTTTGATATGATTTGTGTTCATTTTTAGGTGTCCTGTTAATTTGGGGTATTTAATCTCAAGAATTTAGTTGATGTTTTTGAAGACAACTTGCTATCTTTCAAAAAGTAGCCATTTACCACATAGATTTCAAAATTTACACCTTTAAAAAGAATTACAGCCTGTAATTTTTTTCTGGAGCGTTTGGAGAATTTTCTCTTTAATAAGCCCTAAGATAAATTTGTAAAACCCATTTATTTTATTTATGAGATGAATTTTCATGCATAAAGTTTAATTTATAACAAATCCAAACTATTGACTTCTGTGAAGTCATGTACTTTCTAACACTACTACTGCCTTGGAAAACTTCCTATACTTTTATATGTAAGCGGGTGAATGTTGACTAAAGCGAGTCTTGATTAACTAAGGAACTTTTAGTTGGTGAGTTAACCGGGTTGCTTTTTTGTTTCATTCCATTCTGTTTCCAAGGAAGTGGAAAAAGAGGTTACTAATATAATTTTGATTATTTGCCACTTATAGTTTTTGGCAAAGGAATATATTAGGAATCATAAATATTTTTCTCTTACGTGAGTGTGGTTTCAACTTAAGAATATTTAGTTTCAGTAGGTAAATTGGAGTGTGAACTTCCTTTTACATAGAAACAAGGTAGTAACTAGGTGCTACACACCAGATGTCTCAGTTAGGGACAACCGAGCTATCACAGAATTTCCATTAGGTTAGATAAAAAGGGACCCATATTTTTGCATGTACGTGCTCTGCTGTTCCAGTGCCCCTTGTTGAAGAGACTGTCTTTCCTCCAGTGGTTGCCTTTGCTTCTTTGTCGAAGATCAACTGACTATGTATATGTGCATTTATTTCTAGGCTATTTTGTTGCATTGATCTATTTTTCTGTTCTTTTACCAACATCTCATTGTCTTGATTACTGTAGCTTTAGTCAGATACTGTAGCCAGTCTTGAAGGGAGTAGCATCAGCACTGCAATTCGGTTCACCTTTAGTACTGTGTTGGCTACTCTGGGCCTTCTCTTTTGCCATATAAACTTTAGAATCAGTGTCCACAAAATAACTTGCTGGATTTAGAGTGGGATTGCATTGAATCTCTAGATTATGTGAGGAAGAATTAACATCTTGACAATCTGTAGTTTTTGTATCCATGAACATGGGATATCTCTCCATTTATCGAGTTCTTATCTGATTTAAAATTTATTTATTATTTATTTATTTATTTTTAGAGAGAGAAAGATCAATTAATTTTTCCATTTATTTATGAATTCACTGGTTGCTTCTTGTATGTGCCCTGACTGGAGATTGAACCCTCAACCTTGGTGTATCGAGAGAGACTCTAACCAATGGAGCTACCTGGCCAGGGCTCTTCTCTGATTTTTAAAATCAGAGTTTTGTAGTTTTTGTCATATGGCTTTTGTATATATTTTGTTAGATTTATTCCAAAATATTTCATTTTGGGGGATGTTAATGTGATTGGTATTGTGTTTTAATTTCAAGTTCTTCCCATTCATTGCTGATATATAGAAAAGCAATTAACCTTTTTAAAAATTTTGGAGTGTAATTTTTAATCGTTTTTTATTTCAATTACAGTCGACATACATTTTATATTAGTTTCAGGTATATACTCCAGTGATTAGACATTGTAACTTAAATGATCATCCCAATAAATCTCTTACCCATCTGACACCATACATAGTTATTAGGCTATTATTGCCTATATTCCCTGTGCTGGACTTTTACATCCCTGTGACTACCCTGTGACAACCAATTTGTACTTCTTAAGCCCTTCACCTTTTTCGCCCATCCCCCCAAACCCCTTCCCATCTGGCAACCATCAAAACATTCTCTGTATCTATGATTCTGTTTCTGTTCTGCTTGTTCAGTTATTTATTTATTTATTACGATTCAATTGTTGATAGATATGTATTTATTGCCATTTTATTGTTCATATTTTTTATCTTCATCTTAAAGAAGACCCTTTAACATTTCATATAATACTGTTTGGTGGTGATGATCTCCATTAGCTTTTTCTTGTCTAGAAAGCTCTTTATCTGTTCTTTAATTTTTTAAAAAAAGTTATCTTTATTGTTGAAAGTATTACAGATGTCCCCCTTCTCCCCCATTGATCCCCTCCACCCCGCATCTACCTCACCCCCATGTCCTTCAATTTTAAATGATAATTTGGCTGGGTAGAGTAATCTTGGTTGTGGATCCTTGCTTAGAAAAGCAATTAACCTTTGGATATTAACCTTGTATCCTGCAAACTTGCTATAGTCTCCTTTGTTCCAGGAGGTTCTTTTTGTCTGTTCTTTTGCATTTTCTCCATTGATGATCATGTTACCTGTGAACAAGGCGGCTTTATGCCCTCTGCCCCAATATGTAATGTTTTATTTCCTTCTGTTGTCTTATTGCATTAGCAAGGACTTCCAGTAAATGTTGAAAGGTAGTGGAGAGAGGGGACATCCTTGCCTTGTACCTGTTTTGGGGAAAAACTTCAGGCTTTTCATCAGAGTAGTTAATATTCGAAATGCTTATGTATTAGTGTGAAGTTTAGCTTTCTCTGATTTCTACTCTCACCTTCCCATCTTTAAGAGAAGCATTTCACAGTGTGTTGTTGTTTTTTGCCATCACTAACAGATACCACCCTCTCACATCCCCAGCCTTTGCAGTCATTCTTGCCATTGTATCTAGATGCTCATTTGCTTCTCAGGGCTGAAGATGTAATTCCAAGAGACACCTGACTCCAAGAAAGGAAAAAAAGAATCTTTATTCAGAACCATGATCTCAACCTCTGCTGCACAATAAAATCACCTGGGGAATTTTCTTAAGCACTGATGCCCGGGTTTCAGCTTCAGAGAGTCTGATGTAATTGTTCTGTGTGCAGCCTGGACACTGAGAGGTTTGCAAGCTCACTGAGTAATTCTAATGGACCCCAGGGTTGAAAACCACTGGTCTTCATACTGTGTTCATGTTCTTCACAGCCACATACACCAGATGATTAAGATTGTGGCAGCAGAATCTCCTGGCCTGTTTGTTTTTCAAAAAGTTATACTGCAAATAAATGTAGAGTTTTATTTAGAGTTTGTAGTGTCCTTTAGAGTGTTATGCCATACAAGCCATACCTCCTCTGATGCATACAAGCAATCCTTACGTTGTTGAGTGAAGTCGTGTTCAAGACCTAGGCCCAACTCTAACGGACTCCAAGGTGATATCATCTCTTTCATATGGCCAATTCGATTTATTTTAAATCCTACAGATTAAATAAAACCCCACAAGTAAATAGAAAGTAACTGAATGAGGTCCTTGAAGATTTTTGTTTCTATAATTATGCTAATTTCACTTAACAAGAAAAGGTCTTTAGCATTTACAGTCTCAACAATTGTTTCATAGTGTGTGCTATATTTCAATGTATGCATTTTTAATGAGCATGAATTTATCAAATTTTATTTGAAGAGATTTGTGGGGAAGTGTAGAGAGAAAATAGACATCATTTGGAAAACAAAGTATTTTAAAAATGGAGTGTTGTTTATAGTTGTAGGTTTTATTAAATTTGGTTCAATGGGACATTTAAAATTTAATTGAGAAAAAAATTTATATCTGAATGTTTGTTTTAAACATAAAATTTTGAGATTGTTATTAAGATCAAGCTCCACTTTGATGATTAATGTATGTTTGATAACCAGGAAAAAAGACAAGAATGTTCCTGGGGATATCCACATGCTGTGCTTTGAGTTACAACTGCACCTTTGTTTCACAGCTACAGGACAAGTTTGAGCATCTTAAAAGAGTCCAGCAAGAGGAGACAATAAAACTTGAGGAGGAGAGAAGACAATTGGAAGAAGAAATAATGAATTTTTATAAAATGAAGGCTGGCTCTGAAATATTGCAGACTCAGGCTTGCACCAATGTCAAAAAGGAAAAAGATCGTAAGAAATAGTCCTTTCTTTCCCTTCTCTGCTGTAGCGCCCTGTCTCTCTCGATCCTATCTTCCTGGGAGGTTGTCTTCATAGCTCTTAACTCTGATTAAAGTTCTACTAATTTTAAAAATTTGTCCCCTTATTGTATATTTTCTCCAACTCTCAAGAGCAGGCACCTTGACCCTCTCGTTAGCTGCCATGTCCTCAGCATTTAAACCAAAGATTAGCTGGCTCTCAATAAGTGTTTGCTAAAATGAAAATAAGATCAAAGAAATATATGGCGCAGTGTAAAAAGTGTTTATTAGCTGTAAAAGTTCTTTTAGCATGGCCCTGCCTGTGGCTCCGGTATACAAGTATGGTTGCTTTTGAAAGAAATCTAAGTAGATGATTTGTTGGGGAGCCATAGGCATAAAATATTGTTATAAAAAGCTATGTTAGGCATCATTCTCCTTATCAAAATCTACTGATAGTGATTTCTTGATAGTTACTATAATAAAAAAAAGATTAAGTGTTTTATTAGAACTCCTATACTTTGATGTCAGTCCTTATAAAACTAATATTCGGAGGTTAGAGAGAGCCAGAGAACAATGAGAAACCGTGAGTCACATTTTGACGACAATATTACACCTTCCGGATTTTTGGATATGTGTTAAGAGTTATCAAAGTATTAGAAAATAAGGCTATTATTTTGTAATTTCAAAAATTTCCTTCCAGCATGACAGTCATACCAGTTCTATAACACATATAGTGTAGTGTTATGAACACTTGTAATTACAGTAATGTTTCTAAAACACACTTGCAAGCTGCAGTGAACACAGTGTTATTTCAGTGAGTGGACGTGATACACATTCTTTAACCCATGTGTCAATGTGTTTAAGAGCACGTGTAGTTAGGTTTTGCAATTAAAGTCCCAAGCTCTGCTGTGCACAGTGTATTTCAGTGACTGGAAGGGACAGCTATTCTGTAACACATCTCGGGGAGGGTTTAAGGACATTTGAAACAAGCATGTTTCAAACAAAGCTGGATGCAAGCTGCAGTAGTGTAATGCTATTTCAGGCAGGGGAGGTGATGCTCATTCTGTAATGCGTGCTGTGAAGTATTTAAGAACCCTTCTAATATAGTAAAGTTTTGGAAAACATTTGTAATGAAGATAGCTCTATAAGCGCCACTTGCAAATTATGCTCAGGCGAGTTAAATTACTGAATAAAAGTAATTGCTATTTTGTAATGCATGTAATGATGTGTTTAAGAATGCTTGTAATAAAGCTGTTTCTAACAACTAGGATAGTTTTAAATCAGTAAGTGGAAACGGGCCCTACTGTGTACTGCGTGGACTGCTTAAGGATATTTGCGGTAAAGAATGTTTGTGAGGATGCTACTTGCAAGTGGCATTGAGAACTGTGCTATGTCAGTGACTTGAGGTGACACCCATTCTGTAAGAAGTGTGGCGATGTAAGTCAGTTCACATTTTATCAATATATTTCTTAAGAATGTTATTGGGAAGTTTATTTCAGACCAGGGTTATATAGGTGAGTAGAAGTAATCCTGGTCTCTAATGCACGTAGGAAGTGTTTGATAACATTTGTAATAAAGATGTTTCTAAAAATGCTACTTGCAGGCTGCATTCATACTGGGGTTCTATCAATAAAAGGAATTGACCCTCATCTGTAATGCATGTAGTGACTTGTTTAAGAGCACTTGTACTAGAGATGTTCTCAGTGTGATCCTCGCATGCCGCATTCAGACCAGTGTCACATCAACCACTGTAAGGAATCCCCATTCTGTGCTGCAAGTAGGGTAGTGTTTCAGAGCGGTTGTAACAAAGCTATTTCTATAAGCACAACTTGTAGGCTCTGCTGTTCCCAGGTTTTATCAGTGAAGGGAAGTAATCCTCATACCATACATGTAATGAAGTGTTTATGAACATGTGTAATGATGTTTATAGAGAATGCTAATGGCAAACTGCATTGAGACCAGTGTTGTACCAGTCAATGTAAGCGATCGCATTCTGTATGCAAATATTGAAGTGTTTAAGTGCACTTTTAATAAAATGTTTCTAAAAATGCCACTTGCCAGCTACAATTAGATCACTGTTGTATCCATGAAAGGGAGTGATACCCCTTCTGTAATGCATGCAGTGAATTCTTAATGAATTCCTAAGAACACTATTTGCAAGCTGCAATAAGAGGGGTTTTAATCAGTAATGGAAGTACACTTTGTAATGAATGTGGTGGCGATAAGGAACACTTTTAGCCCTGGCCAGTGTGGCTCAGTTGGTTGGGTGTGTCCACACGTGGAAAGGTTGCCAGTTCTATTTCCATCAGGACACATGCCCACGTTTTGGGCTCAACTCCCAGTAGGGGGCGAGCAGGAGGCAGCTGATCTATGTTCTGCTCTCATATGAATGTCTCTCTCTCTGTCTCCCAAAAAATGGGGGAGGGGGAATACTTCTAATGAAGATGTTTCTAAGAAAGCCCATTGTAAGCTACATTCAAACCCGTTCACCAGTGAAAGTGATCCCCATTGTGCAGTGAGGGTAGTGATGTTATTACAAACAATTCTAATAGAGATATTTGTAAAATGCTGCTTTCAAGCTTCATTCAAACCAGTGTTATATATGTGGGTGAATAAAAATGTAACGCAGGTAGTAAAACGCTTAAGAGCTGTCTCACTAAGGATGTTTCTAATAACACAGCTTGCAAGCTACATGTGGCTGCTGTCATTTCAGTAAATGAAAGTGATACACCTTCTGAAATTCATGAAGTGTTTAAGAACACTCGTAAAGATGGTTCTAAGAACGCTACAGGCAAGCAGTCTGAGAACAGTGTTATAGTCAAGAATGAAGTGACACTCGTTCTGTAATGAATATAGTGAAGTAACTGCGATCTCCTCAAGTACATAAGAACCCCAGAAATATAAATTTTTAATTTTATATGTTAAAAATTCAGACCAGTTATATCAGTGGATGTTATGTCCAGAACGCTTCAGTAAAGATGTTTCTGAGAATGCTACTTGCAAGTGTATGCATAAGTGTTATATCAGTGAATGCAAGTAGTCCTGATTCTTTAATGCATGTTGAAGTATATAACAACACTTATAATTAGAACATTTCTTTTTTTGTTGTTAATCCTTACTCGAGGATATTTTTTCCATTGATTTTCAGAGAGTGAAAAGGAGGGGGGAGCGGGGAAGAAACATTGATGTGAGACACATCGATTGGTTGCCTCCCACACGTGTTCCAACAGGGGCCAGGGATCGAACTTGCAACCCAGGTACGTGGCCTTGACCAGGAATTGAACCTGCAGCTCTTCGGTGCAAGAGCCAACATTCTAACCACCGAACCAGGGCTAATTAGAACATTTCTAAGAATGCCACTTGCAGGCTGTGTTGGGTCAAGTACTATATTACTAAATAGAGTAATTCACTCTGCAATGCATCACCAAAGTGTTTAAGAACACTTGTAATACATTATTAAGAATATTACTTGCAGGCTGTGTCTAGACCAGTGTGATGTCAGTGGATGGAATTGACCCCTGTGCTGTGACACATGTAGTGTTTCAGAATGCTTGCAAGTAAAGATGTTTCTAAGAATGCACCTCTCAAGCTTAAGATCCATTGTAATAGATATATTTCTAGAATGTTGCTTGGAAGCTGCATTCAGAACAGTGTTAAATCACTAAATGGAGGAGGTCCCCATTCTGAAATGCATGAAGTGTTGAAGATACCCATACTGCCCTAGTCAGTTTGCTCAGTGGTTAGAGCATCGGCCCTTGGACTGAAGGGTCTGGGTTCAGTTCCAGTCCAGGGCACGTGCCTGGGTTGTGGGTTCTTCCCGGGCCCTGGTCAGGGTGCGTGCGGGAGGCAGTCAATCAGTGTGTCTCTCTCACACTGATGCTTCTCTCTCCTTTCCACTCTCTCTGAAAAGCAATGGAAAGGAAAAAATACCCTCAGGTGAGGATTAGAAAAGATTACCCACACTAAGGATGTCCCCAAGAACATTACTTGTAAGCTACCTTCAGACCTGAATGTATCAGAAAATGAAAGTGATCCCCATTCTTTAACACACATGTGAAGCTTTAAAAGCACTTATAATAAAGGTATTTCTAAGAACGTAACTTGCAAGCTGCGTCCAGGCAGTGCTGTCTCACTAAATGGAAGTGTCTCTACACCTTAATGCATGTAGTGAAGTAAGTTAGGACACTTTTTAAAAAGATGTCTCTAAGAACTCGTCAGCTGCCTTTGGAGCAGCATTATGTTGGTGCAGGGAAGTGACACCAATTGTGTAAGACGTAGAGATAGGGCTTGACACCGGGACACATCAACGGGCAGTAAACAGTTCAGCAGGTCGCGGACTGCTGGGCTCTCCAGGCTGGTGAAGTCCTATCCCTTCCAAACCAGCTGGTTATTGTTCTGGATGAAGGAACCATCCTGCAATGTGATCTGAAACTGGGGTTGCAAAGGTGGTGACGGTCATTTCCCTACTGGTTGTGGGGCCTTTGGGGTCCTGCATCTCTCCAGGACCAAAAATGAAGAAAACATGAAATAAACAAGGGAAAGGTAATCTTTTATTGTCGGGTATAATTCTGGTTAGACACGGTTTTTGGCCTCCGAGCTGTCTTTAGCGCCCAGTCAAGGATGGGCTGCACCGCACCACATTCCAGTTGGGTCGGCTGTATTCAACAACTAAAAGAACCCTTCGTGTTTCTTTTACTTATGTTTATAATCTATACTCACCTACGCCTACTATGCCCCTTAGAGATAAAGCACTCCAACTCCACTTGCTCATTTCTTTTTGTTACTTTTCATGGCGAGGGGGCAGAGATTGTCTGTGGTTGCTCAGGGGACAGGGACACCTGACAGAAAACAAAGCTCTTCATCCCCAGAACGGGTCCTTTCTTTCCTCTCAGTGTGAGTGATGTTTCCTGTCATATCCACTATTCCCAATATATGAAATGAACAAGATTAAAGGGTGACCATGGGAAAAGTGAGGGTCCTTCCTACGCTTCCTTGCAGATGATCAAACGCAGCATCTCAGGAAGAGCTGAAAACAAGCAGCATTTTACTGGGCTCACATTGGACGACAGGCAGGAGCCAGAGCTGGACTCCTAGGCTGTGCAACTGGCAGCTTCTCGGTGAGCTTCAACCTCAGTATTTCCTCCCATTCGCTCCTTAGCAGGCTTCCAACTCCTGATAAGCTAAGACATTTGCATCTCTAGTGAAGTTTTTGTCTCCTGAGAAGTCCAACTCATGCAAAATTAAACGCCGGAATGAGCACTGGTGTAGGTTACATATTAGTGGGATATACCTTTCGTGGGACTTTTAATTGTAAAAAATGATCAGATTACAGTACTGATGCTTTGACCAGATACTTTTTAATATCTATCTCTTAAGAGTCCTTTCCTTGGTAAATAAAAAAGATCAAACTAGGTTTCCTTTAAGATGAAAAGTTTATTTTGACTTTTTCCTAGAAGCAAAACTAGTGAAAATTAAAGTATAAAAATAAATACAATTCACATTAATGGACATTCCACTTCAAAGTAAATATAAAAAAAATAAAGTATATAAATAAAAATCCATTAAAAGCACAAAACAATGTCTGGCACTTTTATGAGAAAAGCTGTGAACATTAAAAAATGTGTAAAACACACAAGCTCTTATCTTAAAAAAACACACTCAAGTTTCTCATCCTTAATCTAAAACTAGTTTTAACTTTCTCCAAAACATACTACTTGTTTTAGCTAATTTGCATTAGTGTACACAAAACTTTTAGTATCTATCTTTCTTACTGGAAAGACCCACAATAATACAAGCAGGCTGTCTCCTGAGTTTTCAGAATGATAAAGCATTATTTATCATATGATGAAGATAATCTGATATACTTGCCTACAAACAAAGAAACTGGTAACTCAGACATTTTTACTGCCTTCTAATATCCTGGTTCACTCACTGAATAAATGATACATCTCAATAAAGAAAACCAAGTTTACACCCAGAGTAGGTTATCACTTTCTGTCTATAGCTGGCTGTAAAAGTGAGATTTTAAATAGAACAGAAAGTCAAAGAAAACCATCTTTATCTCCATTCTTTAAAGGATATTAAGAATTATATAGTCTACATTTTCAAAATACCAGTATCTTTTAGAATTTTAGAAAGATTAAAGTATACAGTCCCAATTTTATGTGAGAAGCACAAAGCCCTTTTTGGGAATGTATCATAAATTAACAGTGGCTCTCTCCTTCATAAAACCATAGTCCCTTGGTAACATTTTTTGGTTCATATTTTAAATGAATATGTTAGTGATGAAAAACATTAAAAGGCAGTGCCTCTTAATGCAGAATTTCAACTAGATACTACTACTATCCCGTTTGAAAATCTGAAGTTCTTATTATATAGCCCTTTATTCTCTCCTAAATCAAGCATGCTAGAAAAAGCAGACCATTAGGAAACAAAACAGACAGACTAAATGGAAAATAAAGCTGCATGCAACATTCTACGTTACAGAGATGAATGTAATATTAACGCATGCCCCTACATTCAGGAAGATTGTGCTGTCTTCACCAAAGTTGTCACCCTCCACAGAAAGATTTGATAATATAGTAGAAATGTTTCTAAGAGTACTGGGGTAACATACATTAAACCTAACATTTCTGTAAAACAACTAGCTGTTGAGAGAAATGTGTGCTTATGACCAAAATGGTGATCCCCAGATGCTTCTGTGGTAAATGGGAGGTGGACCATGATCAGCAGGCAAGTGTTTTCGTCTATGTGGTTATCCTGTAAGACTGAGAATATGAAGGCTGAGAGTTTTTAGAAAACCAGGGGAAAACACTTCTCTGCAATAATTTCCCCTTGAATAGAACAGTATCTAACTTATCAAATTCAGCAGTTTGCAGAGATAAATGAAATTTGTATTTCAGAACCTATATTTTATCATACCTTTTCAATATTTTATAAAAATAAACCCAAATGTCCTTTTAAGTTTATAAAAAGGTTTTCAGCAGACATATGGGTACATAAAACAAACTTATGTTTGTACAGGTTAAGCATAGAGATGAGTCAATTAACTAAATACTAATTTGTCTTACCCAAACCTAATATTAAGAGGAAAGTGGGGGTGTGGGAAGGAATTAGCCAGACTGACCATACTATCCACATAATTACTCAGCCCTTCGATATCACTTTGTCTGTATAAACAGAGTCCAGGGTTAGTAAAAGTCTTGGGGAGGGACAATAATATGGACAAAACCCTTCCTTCTTTTTTATCCTAACGAATGTTGTCTTCTTAAATTGTCGCAACATTTGGCCGCTTTCTTTGGATTTTTCCTGCATATACTCCTAAAAATAGAGCAAAACTAATATTATTTTTCAATGTTAGTTTTTCTATAATGATAATTATATAATTTCTATAATGATAATAATTAAATAATGCTATAGGCCAAGCACCAAGTTAAGCAGTATACATTATTATATTAATCCTTACATAAAATCCTGAGGTAGAAGCTGATACCTCTACTTTATGGGTAGTAAAACTGAGACACAGGCGAGTAAGTCACCTGCCTCAGAGCCAGAGGCAGAGATTCTGAGAACCCAGTTCAGCCTGATTTCTTGTATTCCTCAGCCATTTTGTATTACTGTCTCCTACTCCTCTTTAATTAGTGGTTTCTGAATTTCACTATCAACCCTTGAGTTAAGCACAAAACATAAAATGAACAAATATTTTTTAAAACTCCTACACGATCAGATATTGCAATTTAGTTTGTAAAAACTATAAACAACTTTAAGTGCTTTGCAGCAATTTTAACACTTTAAATTTCTACTTCAGCTTAAGAATATGATATTCTATCATCTTAACAAAAATGAGTTTCCTAAAATTGCTTAATACATGGTTTGTTTTCCATGTAGATCAAATCAAAGCATAATTTCAAATTTGTTTGAAACATAATCCAGGCCATTAAAAATCTAAACAGGAAAGAGTAATCTTTTCAAGAACAACTATGGATCCCTGTGTTGAGGTTCACAGTTAGAATTTTAATCAGTCATATCCCAAATTTTAATTTTCTATAGAAGGATAAAAATTCTCTAGTCTTTTAAAATCATTTAAATATGTACTCATGTATAAATAAATCTTTAGAAAAAATAGGAAAGAATTTCTGTACTTGCATACATATTAATTACACATGTTAATTCAAGGGTTGAGTTCACTTGTATTAATAATTATGTTGTGATGCAATCAAACCACAATAATTCTCAATACTGAACTTCACTGTATATTATTAACTGCAGTGACTTACACTGTTGAGTATTACTAAATAAAAACAGTAGTTGCTTTTTTGCTTATAGGTTCACAAGTGACAAAAAGTGAGATGAAATGCATGAGAAAAGAACATGGAGAGTAGTCACTGTGGCAAATAGATAATTCACACCAAAACAATACTATTTCCTCAATGATTTGCCAACTAGCTAGGATTTATCACAATTTATATATTACTAACATCAGAAAAAATTGAAAATTTCTTAAAATTCTATATAACTTCACAAGCAAAAGGTCTGGTGTCTGATCTGAGTTCTTTCAAAAGGTTATCTTTCAAACCAGCCGATTCTGGCTACCTCTGGAACAAGCAGGATCTTTAACTGCATAATCCCCCTTAAAAGAACCCACTGACTGTCACTCACGATGACGTCCAAATTACCTTCTACATTATGAATTAAATTCTCTCTCTACATGCAAAGATCAGCAATCATTTCCGAGTTATGATCAATTTCTTGTTCTTTTTGAACTTCTGTGAACAAGTGGTGATGCCATGAAAAAATTTCTTATGTTGCTTGTTCCCTCCTAATTTGGAGAAAGTCACTTAGTAATAAAAGCTCTAAAATATACTAACTGTATTTTAATGAGATTAGAATTTATTAAAGATTTAGTCTTCACTGCCTGAATAATTTTGGTTTCTTTTAAATGCTTAAAAAGTGGTATAGTTAAAGAAAAGCATTTTGAAAGTATTTTTAATGGATTATGTATTTTTTTGTGTGAGCTTATCAAAGTGTCTTAACAAAGATAACTAAAAAATATTAAAACATTAGCTTAAGCGTTTTGCATTAGCTCAACATTGACTTTGTCTTCTTGCCACCATACACAGAATTTTAAAATACAGTATTTACTTTAGCCCTTAAAGGATCCTCTAATAATGAATGTAGAGATTTAACTCAAGCTTCTTACTGAGCACAAGAAAAAACAAACAAAAAAACCTTATCCCCTCCCAACTGGCATATTCACACGTGATCTTGTAGTCAGAGGGAGAAATTCTTTCCCTTTCTGTACAGATAAAATATTTCCTGGGTGATAGCTACACTTCCCCAAAACTGAACATGATAGATTTAGGCATGAGGTCATTGTTGCATTTCACCCATTTATAAAAAGGTTACTGAATTAAGAATGTATAATTCTATAAATTTATTAGATAAAAAACAACAGTGTTTTCATGGAATTATTACAGAAATCAACACTGGACCCAGTTTTACTAAAATCTCCTCCTGACTGCCACAAACTACTAACACAAATGATCACTAGTAGGAATGACTGTGAATATGCCAGACTTATGGTGGCAAGGAGAGACAACAGATCCCATGCGTGAGGCCTGCATTATGGGGCAGCTTGTGCATTTCTTTCTTTTGAATGGGCTTCAGGAACTCATTGCTACACACCTGAAACAGGCGCTCTGTTAGGCACTCTGCTCTGTGAAGACTTCTGTCTATTTTGCACAACCCCCTTCACTGATGTCTTAGGGGTTCTAATTGAATATAAAAAAATTAATAAGTCACTTGCATTAAGGTCTAGATGTTCAACATTCAAAGAAAGCAACCATACTGCATCAACTGTTCTTAGCACAAATAAGCTTGAAAAGAATTTAAGTCTCACGCATGCTCATTAAGGAAGCTATACTTGCTTCAGCAGGAGACTATAACATACTTCGTTGGAGAATCACTTTGGTGATGCTGAACTTACAATATGGATGTTTACAATATTTAATGAGCAAGATGGTATGAAATGAAAAGTAAAAACATGCCAACATAAGATGATAATTAAAATATAATACACAATAGTACACCAAAGGGTTATCTTTGAACAGGAAACTTTAAAAGATCTTTCTAATGCTACTAAAAAACATCACATTTGAAAAATAGCTATCCTATATAAAGGATATAAAAAGAGCACTAAATCATTTTCTCTTTCAAAGCTAATCTTGACTTGAATATTTTTTAATACCTATGTGTTGCATTCTTACCCTTGTCTACTAAGTAGCCTATGAACAGGAGCATTCTGTCCTTGGCTTGGCTGAAGGACTCTGTTGACAAAGTAAATGAAAATTAATTCAACAGGAAAAATTCTGTTTTCCCCTACTTTCTTTCAATAGGTAAATGATGATAACAGTGAGGTGGAAGTCATCTATGAAATGATATGGCCAATATAATACTGCAAAGCAAAGCAAACTTATTAAAGCAAATTAATATGGTACTTATATTTTGCTCACCAAGAACCCAAACCTTAGGTTTTTGTCAGGAAAGAAATGTCCAACATAAGTATTAATCCTTCTGCTTTTAGGTAATTTATTTATATACTTCACAAAAGCCAACTTTTCCTTTCAAACATCTGAGAGAAGAAAATATCACTTACAAGAGAAGAAAATATGTCAGAAATACTAAGCTAGCTTTCTAATGTTTTTAAATAAACATCAAAGACCCCCTGGACTATGGACTGAACTCAGGACATATGGACTCAAATTTCCACCAAAGATAGCATTTCCACTGAAAACTCCAGGAACATCTGGTCTGACATGTGACCAGGTACATGACCAGGTGTTAATATGAATTCTGACCCTGGATCCTCCAACTCAGCAGGGAGTATTCTACTGAGATAAAGTAGCACAAAGCCAACAAAAAGCAAGTTTGGGATTTATAACATTTTCTTTTCTTTAAAAATAAAAAAAATAGCCACTCATTGAAACTATGTGATTTTTCTCACCTTGTTTCAGAAGGGTTTTGTTTAACCAGGAATTTCTTATTTGGCATTCCCATTTCAGCAGCTCTAACACAATAAAAAAAAATAAAGACACACAATGTATTTAGAAAGGGGAAAAAACATGTTTACAAATGTGATACATGGTGGCAGAAACAAATCATCATTTAAAAGTTGGTGTACCACAAAAGACCTCTCCTAACCATAAAGTAACCATAAAGTAATCATAAAGGCTACTTTCAAGAAAAAATAGTTATAATAAGATAATTATTAGGATGTTCCTTGCATTAAGTTTTTCCTCCCATGACGTCTTTAGGATATTAGAAAAAGAACATATTTAAAAGACATGAAAGTGACATTGCATATAAGGATAAACTATTTTCAAGGTTTGATTGACTACCAATTATACAAGTTAAACACCGACAAATTTAGTAGTTAATGAATATATTTATCTAAAGATGAAATCAAATTTTACCACCAGATTTCATAAAACTCTTTATATAAAAAAAGGATTTCTATGAGTTCAGCAGTAGAAGAGTGAACTGTTCTTTATTTCTAATATGACTACACCAACAGACCAACCAAAACTAATTGGTTTGATAATTAAATTATTGTGACATGAAAAAAAACTTACTTCATGTACTTCTTCCTATCCAGAGACTTCTGTGTTGCAGCGGAAAGAGACACTCGTGAACTCTTCATTTTATCCTTTAAAATATAGAAGTAACAAAGCTCTGGCGGTACCAGCGATACCCCTATGCTATAGTACAGGGTGATCTCAATGGCACGGACAGGTGTCTCTTACTAGCATTTTGAACTTTAACTTAGTCTTCATAATTGAAGCAGTCCAAATTAAAAAAAATAATTAAAATTATTTTTTCCCAATGAAATAATATAAAACTTGCTTGTTTTTCTTTTGCCAACCACACTAAGATAACTGATTCAAACCACAGATCTCCAACACTCTGATATATTTCAAATTAACTTGGAGCCTGTTTTTTAATTCTGATTTCCAAAAAAGGCAAAAGCCACATGACAGTTTCAAGGAAATTCCATTAAGAGCAGGTGATAGTTTATCAGGCATACAAACAACATTCAAAACTTCAGCTCTAAAATCTAATCACAAAACAATATGCAATTCTTTCACCAGTTTCTTTTAAATCTGTCTACAGATTTAAATGTTGCTGGTAATTCTGGGAATTACTTGTGCTTAAGAATTGTAGGAAGGGTGCTGAAGTCAACAGAGAATATTTAGTATCAATTATTCCAAACCCAGAAGAATATATATATATAGTTTCTGCTCCTGGTTCCAGCTATTTGGTCTTTGACCCAAGTTCCTAACAGAGCTAAGCTCCTAAAACCTTTGTAATCTGACTGATAAGGGCGGTAGAAACATCTTCTGTTCTAATATTTGGTCTTTTTAATAAGTAAATAAATATATTTTTCTTTTACTGATTTTAGAGAGAGGGAGAGAAAGAGAGAAAGAACGATATGAGAAACATTGATCAGTTGCCTCCCCAGGTGCCCTGACCAGGAAGCGCACCCACCACCTTTCGGTATATTGGATGACGCTCCAACCAATTGAGCCACATTGGCCAGGGCCTAATATTTGATCTTTGACCTCAGATCCTGACACAGATCTCTTAAACTCATCGGAGTTTTCTGAGTGATAGGAGCATTTTTTTGTTCTAACAAGGTGAGACTCTGGGTGGACTCCTAGAAGGAGGCTAGTCATCAGAAAGACCAAGCATGATTCGAAGTTTGGAGCTTTCAGCCTCATCTCTTATTCTCTGGAAACAGGAGAGGAGCTAGAGATTGAGTTAATAACTGATCATGTCTACATGATGAAGCCTCCATAAAAATCCCTAAAGTACAGAGAGCTTCCAGGCTAGTGAACACATACATGTGCTGGAAAGATGGTCCCAACTCTACAGAAACAGACTGCTCTCAGGATCCTTCTGGACCTTGCCCTATGCATCTCTTCATCTGGCTATTCATCTATATCATTTATTATATCCTTTATTATATAATAAAACAGTAAGTGTAAGTTAAGTGTTTCCCCAAGTTCTGTGAGCCATTCTAGAACATTACTGACCTGAAGGAGGGAGCAATGGGAGCCCCAATTTATAGCCATCAGTCAGAAGTTCAAATGACAACCTGGGTATTGCAATTGGTGTCAGAAGTGGGGACAGTTTCAACTGCCTCCTTAACTTGTAGTATCTGATAACTCCAGGTAGATACTATCAGAACTTAATTGAGTGGTACGACACCCAGGGTGTCAAAGAACTGGTCAGTGCAAGCGAAAAATCCCCCACACCTAGTGTCAGAAGTATTTTGTGACTGTAGAAGAAATAAGAGTTTTTCTTTTTCACTCATTCATTACAAAATCAGGTAACATACCATTTGCCTGAGCATTTTCTCTTTGCGAGCTTCTCGGTCATGATGCAGAATAGACATCCTTTCAGCTGCATCCATTACAAAGAATATATCATGAATACCATACAGGGCAGCTCGCAACTAATTTCAAAAGAAGAAAATATTGTACCCATTTAAAAAGATGAGGTCAGGGTTCAGTAATATTACGTAAATTTTTATTTAGAGAAAAAGGTTTAAGCTTTAATTTCAACACATTTTCAGTGGTTAAGTGAAGGGAGAGAAATAAAGCATTTCCACTTCCCAAAGCCTTCAGGACCTGTACATTTACCTGAGCCAGCACCCTTTCCTGAAGAGAAGCATCCTGTGCTGAAACAACTCCTCTCTTTAATGGTGCTTCTGACTGAAAACTTCTTATGAATTCCATAGTGTCCTGAAAGAAGAAATGCTCCTTCAAAAACTATTTTTCTAGAAAGATTCATGATCACTGGAGTTTCCTTTTGTTTTTTTCCTCAGTCAATCCAAAATTTTTAAGAATACAAAACTATTACTTATCAGAAGTCAAAACACCACTCACTTTAAAGTGAGATGAAAATATGTAAACTAATGAGATTAATAATCAGATTTCTAAAATCGCCTATATTACAGTAACTAAAAAAAGGTTTGATCTGCCTAAGTTATGAACTAATTTGTCAATTCAGCTGTAAAAAGACTGACACAAACTGATACAGAAGTGAAATACAAATTATTTACAACAATCTTACTTTTACAGTTTGTCGAAGTTGCTTCAATTTATCTGTCTGCATAAGCCTACGAGTAAGAAATCCTTTTGCCACAGCAGTTATTCTACTGAATTTTGCTTGTACTTCTGGACTGAAAACCTAGAGGAAATAAGATAGACACAGTGTTTTAATAATTTGAGCATTACACTAAAGATTGTTTTTTTAATCTATTACAATGAACTAAATTCTTCTATATATGTATGCTCTGTGTAGTTTCAGCTCTAATAAAAGCTAAACTATTAGATGTATGACAAAAATATCCATGCTCATTTGTATAACCTAAGATAATGTAGATGTTTAAAAATACAGAAAGAAAAATAGATAAGTAGATAGAAGGTAGATGGACATACATGTATCATAAGTTTGCTCACCTGTGACAATTTAGTTGTGGCCCTTCCAAAAGGCCTTGTTACGGAGAGTTTGGACAAGCCACTAGTTGATGACCCCCAGAGGTAGAATGGTGCTTCATTTACAGAACCAAAGCTATGTTGTAGGGCAGAATTTGTGAAACCTAGAGAAATATATAAATAGTATAATACTTGATGTCAGATAATAAAAATATGCAAAACACCCACATAAATATGACATTCATTAAGAACAGCACCACCAACAAAAAAGAATGACAACTGCTTCTGAAACTGATCCACTTAAAGTATTTATAGACTTTAAGCTTATGTACCAGATGGATCTTTTCGACACAAACAGCATCTCAGGATAATTGAAGATGTGAAGATAAACTCACTGGGGGCAGGAATTAGATGCAGTAATTCAAGATCACTCTGGAGATAGCAAACAGCATTTTCACTTGAAGCGTATCACCTGCTGCATGAATGAACAAAGACTGGACTCTGTGTCAAATTTCCTGATATTTTCCTTGCTAAAATGGCTTTTCTCATGAACACCTGCTCACTGGTCTTTGATCTGCTGCTATCATTTAATTTTTCACTAGTTACTAAGCAGCTGGCAAACAGCAGTGGGGTGGGTATGAAATTACTTGAGGAAAAAAGCTATAATCTTAAAGTGTGCCAAATAAAATGTCTTACTATAGGATAACTTCTTCAAATGGAAAAGGATTTTTAAATATTTACCAGAACTATTAGAATTTGAAGTATGGAGTGAGTCCACTTGAGACAGCATTGTTTCTAACAGAACAGAGTCACTTAGTTTTCTCCATTCTAAGTCCACTGCACTGTTAGTATCCAATTCAGAAGCTTCTGCTGTAATCACTTTCTTCTCTTTGAACATTTTCTCCTGTTCTTCTATTTCCTATAGATTAAGAGTTCATTATAACATGCTAGATATTTTGTTAAATTGTATCCCAAAATAGTATCATTTTAGGCCTAGCTAAAAGTATGTATACTTGTAAGCAAATTGTTATCTATTTCAAGTGTTCCTCCCTCAAATTTATTTGGTTTTAAAATGTGATATAGTAACAATAATAATCTTAAAACAAGTGTCCTCCTCTTACAATCTGCTCTTGCAGAATTTAAGCATCTACTTATAAAATACCTTTAAAAATATTAAGTTTTGAATCAAGGATTCAATAAAGTATCCTTTTGATAAATTCTACATTATTTTTAGATAAGAATCTAAACATTGAACCTCACATTCTGGTAATAAAAATATTATCCATGTATCAAAATCAATGACCCCCTTAGATTAAGATATTGGGGAGGGGAGGGCAATTACAAGTATCCTATCCATCACTAAAATTCTTAGGTATCCCCAGCTAAATTCCACTCACCAGTCCTACACCCTATGTTTTAATTTCTCACCTTTTGCAGTCTTTCCTGTTCCCTCTCCTGCTCAGCTATGAGTAGTGATAATTGCTGAGCGTGCTGTTCTTCTAGTCTCTTCCGCACTTCTTCAAAAGCTAACATCTTGCTTTTTAATATCTCTTCACCTTCTGAAAAGAAACACATCCCCTCAGATTTAGAAAATTTACAAATCTAGTATCTGGTGTTTTATATCATCAACTTAAATTATGCTTCTGACAAGAGAGTATTCCTGGATCTGACATGATACAATAATCAAGATATTCCAGGTGCTCACTTTGACCCACGTTCTCTTTTGCTCCTCTTATTTCATGCTATCGAATAAAGGTTCACATCTCACAACCCTCACCGGCTCATTCAACAGATCCCTAGAGAGGGAGCTCCCCTTCAGAAAGGGGCTCCCTCTGGCTCCTAATTGATACTAGAGAATACTGGATGGATCTGGAAGGTGAAATAAAACCAGGAAGAAAAGGTGTTTCTTTAAACCCGAGCAATGAAGCCAGCCGAAGGAACAGATTTCTGACATTGATGATGCAGTAGAAACTGTACAATCAGAGTCATGTAAAACCTGTACTGTTCTAGTTACTTTAATCTGTCTTTTTACATTGGCTTTTGTTTTCTAAAGGTTTTCCAAGCTTTTGTATATTTGGATTGCAGAACACTTTGTAAGAATACTTTTTTAATGTGCATTATTAAAAATGTTCTGAGTTAAGCTGATTGTCAACTTTATTAAGAAGGACTGCTTTGTGCCCACTGTCATCAAGATTTGTGTGGGAGATGCAAAAGCAAACACCTATCCTGTGACAGCACTTTCAGCTTCAAATATATCAATTAATTGAATGTGAAAAAAGGTCCTGCTGGACATGGCTTAGTGGAGCAGACAAGTAAGCTTTATTTCCATGGCCCTTCTCCTTTTTGCTTTTCCCTTCTCAAAGTACTCCATGAAAGGTTGTATTTTTGACAAAGGCTTTAAATAGAAGTATTGCAAATAATAATAATAATAACGTGGGAGGTTCTGTCCAGTGCTTCAAGACAAGGGGCTCCCTCACTAGAGAGGGGCACTGCCTTCCTTGCCCACTTTGATAGCAACCTGGCTGCCTCCGCTGCCAGAATGGCCACTTGTTGGTTTTGTGTACTTTTGGGATTCACTGAGACAGCTTCTAGTCATGGTATGTGGTTTACATGGAGTATCCAGGTAAGCTTCCCAGGTTATCAACTGTTGTTTTTATTAGCATTTTTATAAAGTTGCACAGGTTTTAAATGGCCTGATCTAACCCCATTTTTCCTATAAACCTTATTATTTTTAGAGTGCAATTTTACAGAGCATGAAGTTATTTTCAGGAAGACATATATCACATTAGAGTTGAAATGTCTATGTCTAAGAACTTACTTTACTTGATTTATATGTCTCCCACATTAGCAATGAAGAATTATGAACCGTGACAACAAAGGAGTAATGAAGAAGACATGTTTTAACAAGTTGTTAATACAACAGATGCAATATAAATTTGAAATAATTTTTATCAATAAGGATACTATTTTTAAATACTACTCACAGAGCCTTATTTGTGCTATTTTTCTCTAATAATTTGATGTTAAAGTGTTTACTGAAGGGCCAACTATATGAAGATCTCATCACAAATGAAAGGACAAACTGATGAAAATATGAGAAACCACAGCCCAAAAAGAAGACACCATGGCAATACATTGGGTTACAACTATGAGTGATGTTTCATGCAAGAGTTTTTCCTCCAGTCATTAACAATATTCTCTATAATACCAAGTGGATTATGAAAAATTCATATTTTAAATTTTAAAATCCTGTAAGAAAAACCTATCAAATGGCAATAAACTGTAGCTAATTATATGCTCTCTGCTAAGATAAATGAAATTAAGTACCCTAATGAACAGAAAAAGATGATTATTATTTTACAAAATGTCAATTAACAGTACTAAATAAAGGTGTCCTCTGCTTGGCAGGTATCAAATACTTCCAAGTTTCTTACCTTTGGAAATACTTTCTAACATTTTATTCTTGTTGATGTAGACAGATCCCTTAGGGTATCTTTTTTCTGGCAAATGTTGCCTTTCTTGTTCAGCTATTCCAGTTATGACACAGGGGCAGTTTTCTTTTTGCAAACTATCCATATCTAAATCAAGTCTCCGTTTAACTTTCTCAAAACTGTTATCCAAAAATTGTTCATTTCCACAGGACACTGTAGGGGTGTCCATCTGCTGTCTGGTATTCTGGTTTTGCATCAGTAAAGGAGATGGGTTTTTTACATCATAAGACTTATTCAGTTCCATTTGTAAATTGCAGCTTTTCTCTAATGCACTGGCTGACTTGAGTCCACTCATGCTTCCAAAGTTTTGACTTGCTATACACACACTGGTGGCATATGGCTCATGCAATCTTGGCATTGTGATACAGGTACTGTCCATTTTGTGCGGTCCTCTCCCATCAGATGTTAACTGATCTTCCACGATACCGAGTCCATAAATAACTTTCTTTTCCAGTTGATTTCCTGAAGACTGACATAACTGATTTGACTTACCTAAAACCATTTCCTGTATGGCTTCAGATGTATTTTTGCTGACATAAACCTTGCTAGAACAAACACCTGTTAAATCAGTTGGTAACTTTGGCACAGTTTCAGGTACATTTATTTTTTCATCAGTATCTTGAACAACTATGTCTACTGCCTGTTCTTTGCCTTTAGGACTTAATTCACAGGCATTTACTGGGTTATTTATAAGTATATTACATGCTGATGATGGTCTGGAACGCCTTCGATGCATTTTAGGACTCAGGCTTGGCTCTGGACTAGGTAATTTGGCATATGAACTAGTAAGACTTTTGATAACATTATTTTCAGTAACAAAAGTGGGAATGACTTTAAAATCAGAATCAGGATCTGAGACAGTGGGGTGGCCAGTCCCCATAGGTATGTCCGCTTTAGAAAAGCTACCCAAAACTGATGTATTCATGTTGCTTGCTTGAGCGGAAGCACCTTGGAGAAGAACATTTGATTTATTAAGGCTTGGTTTGTCAGGAATCACTGAACTACAATGTTTTCCCATCAACTGGGCCTTCTCCTTTACACAGTCAGTCAGTTTAAGAGCATCATTTTCTTTGTCTGAATGACTCTCATGAACACTTCTCTTTGCACTACTTCTCAGACTGCGTCTAGATTGTTCTCTTTCTATATATTCCTTTGACTTTTTCATCAGGTTCTGAAGACTCATTACATAGGGATCTGGAGTAACTTCTTCCAAAAGTGATGGGTCCTCTTCCTCATTTTTTGGGAAGAGACTGTCAGAAATAAGTGTCTCCCGTGTGGTTGCTGAGGTCTTTAGAGAAGCTTCATTTTCTGTGTGGCTAATATTTAAACTACCACATTGCTTCAGAGAATTAAATTCTTCTGAATCCCTAGCTAAGTCTATCCCATTAGATTGAAATTGGTCCTCATTAGTCAACGGCAAAATTCCAGTTATCTTTTCAAACTCTGCTAAAGTAGAGTGTTCAGGAGAGCTTGGCAAGGTATTTGGAAAGGCAGCAGGAACATTCAAGTTTCTGACTTCTGAATTAGAGTAAACTGTTTCAGTCTCCCACTGATCAAAATCACTGGCATCAGGTGCTTTTCTAACCTGAAAAAGGAAATTTAAAAAGTATTATTTTCTCATTGCACAAAAACCTTGGATTTCATTGTTTTCTAAAATAGAACTGAAATTAAAGATTCAGAGTTCTAACATTTGAAAACACAAATAACAAAACTAAGATTACCCTTGTCTATGGTATCCTATGTCACATGGTCAAATTACTATAAATAACATCTGTTGTCATCCCCGTCTATTTATTAAGATTTTTTTTAAAAAAGGAAATTATTCTGATACAAATATGAACATATATGCATATGTATACACACACATATTCATATATCCACATGCAATTTAATCTTGGAATAGAAGCGTTTTTCTTAACTTTCTTCTGGTTTTATGTTATTAATGTCACCAACCTATAAGAGCTATCACTTAAGGATGACATATAAGATAAACAGCAAGTAGTTAAATTTTTTACATAATTGATTCCCTCCTTTACAAAGACTAACTTGCCCTGGATATTAAGAAAAAATAATTCAATAATAAAACTCCTGCCTCCCACATACTTATTCCAAATTTTAACTAAAATCCGTCTAAATGATGAGATAAATTTGTAGTAAATGATAGCTCAGCCATGTAGTTTAAATTACTTGAAAATAGGAAAAATCCAACTTTAAACCCATTCATTGAAGAAAATTTCAATTTGATTAACTGATGGTTATTTAAAACAGGAACCTGTTAATGAGTTTTAGAACAAGTGAAATAAGTAAAAAATCTGATAAATTAAGATGAGAGCAATTATATACACAAAAGATACAACAGAAAAAATAAAATTACATTTTGTATTTAAATAATTCAACTTTGCAAAAAAATTAAAAGTGAACTAGGATGGTTTCTAAAGATTATACAAGCATGTACTAAACTGGAGAAATCATTATTATATTATTATGTGAATACAGACTCCAGAATCCTCATTACTGGAAGGTTTTCAGGTTGTTTTGCACGTGTTTTTTCCTAGACCATATGGCACACCTGTCTGACCTTATAAATCCCAAGACATGTAATGGTTTCCAGGTACTATGAAATAAACAGTACAACAAGTGTACTCGTTCACCTCAGGACCAAAATAAAACAAAAGAAATACATATTCATGAAATCCATGAACACATTCATAGGTTTAATAGTTTTTGTATACCACTAACTTGAGCCCTTGGTTACATGATTTAAATAACAAAAAATTTATCATAGAACCATAGGTTTTACAGATGCAAAAGACCTTAGAAATCTATTATTATTTTTAAAAAATATATCTTTATTGATTTCAGAGAGAGGAAAGGGGGGGAGAGAGAGAGAAACATCAATGATGAGAGAGTCACCGATTGGCCACCTCCTGCACACCCCCGGCCGGGGATCAAACCCGCAACCCAGGCATGCGCCCCGACCTGGAATCGAACCCCGATCGCCTGGATCCTAGGTCGACGCTCAACCACTGAGCCACGCCTGGCCAGGCAGAAATCTATTTTTAATATATAAAATGTTTCTACCTGCATAATTCATTACAGTTCAACATTGTACATGCTTTCTTAAACAGAGAAAGTTTTCAGACTCAACAATAATCTCTTTAGTAATATATCTGATATATTTCCTCAGTGGAACAAGAATAATATACCATTTTTGTTTCAATAATAAAAAATATCTAGTAATTAAAAAACTCACCCTTATTGTGCTACACATATTTTTTAAACTTAATATAAGAAGCAATTATAATCTGCATATTAAAATCTACTACCCACAAAGAAATGAAGGTAGTTAGCTGTTAATGGGAAATATTCTAAGGTTCATTGTACATGTCTCAGAAATTATCTGTTCAATCTAATTTGTTTTCTTTTTAGTATAAAATGATCCAGACTTTAAAACAAATTATTTAAATTTATATTAAGCTAAATAAAAATAATCACAAAAGGTATGTATGGATGTGTTGTTTAAATGGTTTAATCTGGATCTAAGACACACCTAGGCAATTCTATTTATTTAATCTAAATTGCATTTGTGTATCTAAGAGTAGAATTTTCACCCAAAAAACGGGGGGGGGGGCAGTTATTTACTTTAATGAAAAATGAGAATAAGATATTGAGTCAATAGTCTGATTAGTTCGGAGGCAAACTACAATGGCCAATTCTATCATCTTGTCACTGAGAATTCAATGTTTTTAGTCATAAGACACATACAAGCAGTGATTATATTCCGTGTATGGCTCCGTTGTGTACGGACCCTCTGACTCAAGCACTGGGCGTCACTAACAAGCAAGTGAACTTTCCCTGGAGTAACTGAAATGGAACATCACAAATTATGAAGCTTCTCAGAACAGAACAGTGAAGTATATCGGTAATTAACTATTATGTGCAAGTATATTTCTGAAAAATTATCTTCACGGCTTACTTCATGATTTCTTAATTATAATTGAAAAGAGTTTAAATTACACACCTGAACATTTTCAAGAATCTCCTGGACACGAGTCAGTAAAGCTTTCTTCCTATTAATCTGCTTTCTTGCTTCTACATCAAGTGCTTTTTGCTTTTCTTGTTGCATTTCCTTTCTTTTCTCAATGTTAAGCTGCAAAACATAATAAATAAGTAATTATTTCTCATAAATGTAAAAATAGAATAAAATCAGGAAGTTTTGAATCAGAGTGATTAAAACTATTGTGAAAGAAATCTGAAGTGGTCCTGGGTAACGACTGGGATTGGGCACGACAGATCTTTCAGTGTTGATGAAAATATTCTGTGTGAGTGTGAGTTATACAAGTATATGTCACATATCAAAATTCATGGAACTTTTATGCTTAAGATCTGTGTATTTCACTGTCTGTAAATTATTCTCAACTAAAAAAAAAAAGTTAAAAGGAAATAAACTTATCCAGTGCTCTAAAATGAGATATAAAATCAGCCCTTTGGGCCACTGCTGAGCTTTTCACTTGGCAATATCTTACTTCATTAGGTCAGTTAGATTCTTCAATTTCTAATCATCTAATAAAAGTACATTTTACCTCTTTGCTACCTCAAGGAAATACCCAAAGGTTTAATAATAAAAGAAACAGATGATATTTTATTTGCCTACAAAACCAGAATACATATTTGGTTCCACTTCATTGTACCCTCCACTAAAAATATAATGTACCTAAAAGACTGAAGGCTTCTACACATATCTTTTTCAGTGAATTTAAAACTTAATCATTAAGTCCTGGGAAATTTAGTTACTGTGTTAAGGAGTCAAGATTTATTTTAGACTTATGCAAATAGAAAACATGTCATAAAAAATTATTCCAAAGTTGCAATATTCATCCATCAAATATAACAAAATCATGGATTAATGTCCATAAACATCAGATTTTGCTTATAAATAACTAACTGATGGAGTCATAGATCTTAAGGTATAAGGTGCAGATATTTTGGTCCATATTAAATTAATCAAGCAATATGTCATCAAGTAGCTGATAAAAATGTTATAAATTTTTTTCTTATTTGCATGGTATCAAAGAATCATTTCACAGTTTACTTGCTGATAAAAAAGGGGGAAGAAAATGTATACCCTTAAAGAGTGATCTGATAGCCACCACTGTAAAAGCAAGTATTCAAACTAAACATCTAAACATTATGTAACTTCTGATTTAATTTATTATGAAGTACATGGCATCATCTCCAAACAACTCTTGTCCAAAATGTTTAAGTTGGCTCTAATCAAACTTTTAGACTTAATTTCCAGTTTATAGGAACTACAGGGACTAGAGGATAAGTTAAACATCACCATGAAGGAAACAATTAGACAAATCCAAAATGTAACGCATTCTACAAGATAACTGAAATGGTCTCTTTAAAAATTCACTATCATAAAATGTTTTTTAAAGAGGTAGAGAACTATTCTAGATCAAAAAAGACTAAAAAATCCTAACAAGCAAATGCTATTTGTGAATTTTGACTGGATCCAGATTAGAAAAAACAAACCAGTTATAAAAGACATTTTGAGCACAAATTGGGAAATTTGAATATGAACAGAATATTAGATGCTATTAAAATTATTATTAATTGTTTTAAGATGTGATAATGGTATTAAGGTTTTATATAAGAGAATATCCTTATTCTTAGAATATGTATACTAAAATACAGGGTGGGGCAAAAGCGGGTTTATAGTTATGAGTACGTGAAGCAGAGTTTATTCTTGTGTTATTATTTATTTATTGTATTATTTTCCATATAAACTGTAAACCTACTTTTGCCCCACCCTTATTTGGGGTAGAAGTGTCATACATCTGCAATTTTCAAATGGCTCAGCAATAAGACAAAAAGAGTAGGTAAATACACACACACACACACACACACACATGATAAAGCAAAGATGGCAAAAATGTTAAAAATTGTTGACTCTAACTCATAGATATATGGATAGTCGTACTATCCTTCCAACTTTTCTGTATGTTTGAAAATTTTATTACAAAAAGTTGGCAGAAAATACTGAACTTTTAACTCCTATTAGACAAAAAAAAATTAAACTCACTGTCTTTCAATTATATTAATTTTCTGATTTGAAATAAAATCACATACTTTAAAGGGTTTATGATGAAAAATGTGTCTTCCCTCTCATCCTATATTTCCTTACCCGTCTCCAGAGAAAGAATACAATATCTTTATTTAAAAATCCAAACAGTTAACATATATTAAGTACCTCCTATGGTGTGAGTAGTGTTCTAAGCATTTTAAATGTATTAGTTCATTTCATCCTCAAAACAGCCCTATGAAAATGGACCTGCAAGTTCACACAGCAGGTTAAGTGGCAGAGTAATGGATTTGAACTGAGGCCAGAAGGCACCAGAGTTGGGCTTTGTAATGACTACTCTACACGGCCTCCAAGGGTATGCTGTGTGCAGTGATTTATGGTAGCTCACGGAGATCCTTCCATGCCCAAACATTTAGGTCTACTGTACTATACTCATTTTAATGGCATGTATGAGATTCTGACTGACCACAGTTAAACTAGTCTAATACTGATGGGCATTTAAGTTGTTCATCAGTCTTTTTCTATTTTAAACAATGCTACTATAACCTTATGAATGCTTCTTTGGGCATTTACCAAAAAATAAAATCAACTGATTCTCCCAGCAAAAGTGCCTTTTCACCACAACCTAAGGAACACTAGGTCCTTTCAGATCATTGCAAATCTAGTAGGTAAAAAAAAAAAAGCTAACTCATTTGTATTTCTTTGATTATAAGTAAGTTAGACATCTTTTCCATGTTTATAAGCCTTTTTAAAATTTTTCCTATGAACTGCCTTAGTGGTTCACTATAGAAAAAGTTATTTAAAATCAAAGAACATTTACCAGTGGAGAAAGCACAGCCACTCCATGGAAACGAATAAGTGAAATGCTTTCAGACTGGACAGGTAGAAAGCTCTCTGTGGATATTGATGCCTTTTGGATTCTGGCAAGACTTTCCTCACAGAACTTCTCATATTCCTCCATCTTCCCACAACCACACTACAAAAGAGAAAAATGTCATTTTTAATGTACTGAGAAAAAATGATCTTAATTATTTGGCAAATTTTATAGAGCACTAAAATATTCCTAGAATTCACTATCCCTAGAACTGGCCTTCCCAAAATTTTTTCACTGATCAGGAGCTAATTCTTGAGTACAAGTTAAGTGAGTAAAGATCCTACCCAGTTAAGGCTTGCTTCATACAGTAAATATTTCTTAACATTTGTATGCAAATCAATCTTTAAAAGTGATTAATAAAAGTATTAAGAACTTACTAGTGAAACCTACTTGAAGAACACAAAGTTCTCTACCACTTTATTAACTTAGATTATAAAATAGAATATATTTTCTTTAGCAGGACTTAGGAACAAAGCCCAAGGAAGACTAAGTTTTATAAAGTTAGCCAAAAAAAAAAAAAAAGACATAAGGGCTATTTAAATAAAAGAAGATGCCTACTTTTAAAAATTCTTTTTCTACCATGGAATCAAAGTCTATTACTTGCATATCTTTAGCCCAATCAATCAGCAGTAGAAAACAGAAAATCTATTGACTCCCGTAATAATTCTATTTTACTATTGAAAATTGGATCCATTGCCAAACTACTTAATCAGCCCAGTAACGTCACAATTTCTGGAAATTGTGATGGTGGCTATGAAAATACAAGGTAACCAGGAAGGATTAGCCACCATATCCATTCATCAAGCAAGTGTTAAATATTTGATTATCTGTTTCCATAGCATTATGTCCAACATTGTTTTCTTTAAACAGGAAAAATAAAAAGGGAGACATCATTAGGTCTATAACCAACAAGGGAATGAGCTGTGAAAACAGAAAAACTAATACGATAATGATCCTTTAAGTGTTCGTTTTAAAACAATTCACCAATTAACAAAAAAAGAAAGAGGGTAGGGAAATTCAACTCATGATGTAGGATATGCAAAGATGAAATAAGATAGACTATGATACTGTCTTAAGCTACAAGGTACTTAAAAATTCACTACACTCAAGTGTCAGGGACAAAATATAGCACAATTAGAAATGAAGAAAAAGCATATTCAAAATTATGATCAGGTTATGAAAAAAAAAAGATATGTTACTACTTGTGACTAACTGGTAATCTTAATAACTTCTTCCTACCATCCCATCAATTCCAATTATTTCTATATTCAACTTATGCAAAATGAAGTTTGATTTCAGAGAAATGTTTCTCTAGAGTGTGAATGAGATTATTTTCCAAACTTATATTCATAAAACAAGCAAAAGTAAAAAACAAAACCGACACCTTACTGCATGAAAACCATAGTGAGACCTCAATTTTTAGTCTAGATTTCAACCCATATTATGATGTCTTAACCACAAAATATGCAGAAGCTAAGATGTAAGAGAAATTCAAATGACCCCACTTCTACTAAAGTACTTCAAAATATTTTTGAACACAACCCATGCTTCCAGAATTACAGGGAATGCAAATAGATTACTCGTATAATTAATCTAATATATTTCCTATGAATACACATGCAAAGCATGAAATTCTATTTTAAAGGTTTGGGAAATTTAAGGAAATAAAATAGCTTTATGGCAATAGTTTTATATTTCTTTCAACATCACACAGATATGCCTCATTGTTTCAGAAAGTTAAATTCACATCCCATAAACAGTACATGTATGTTATACATATTGCAGGTGTACAGTAACATTATTACAGTATAAATTATGGCATATGATAATGCATTCAATGTCCCAATACAAGTGCTCATATGATTATGGAAATCACCAAATGATCCCAGAAGAGCACGACTGGATCCTTCTTATCCTTCAGTCTCAGTTTGTCCCTGCCTTTGAAAGGCTGCCCCTTTAAATTAACCCCGTGTCAGTCACTACCACATTACACTGCTGCTTCCCAAGTTTCATAGCACTTACCACTATCTGAAATTATCTTGTTTATTTCCTTGGTTTTTGTCTGTCTTCCTCCACCAAAACGTAAGCTCCATAAGCACAGGTACTTTCAGTCTTGCTCACCACTGAATCCCCATTACATAGAACAGCGTCAGCACACAGTAGCACTTGATAAAAAGTATTGAATAAATAAATTAGGGTAATTATTATGGTAGTTTCATGGACGACCCTATTTTCAAAGAAACTGGCACCTCTAAACTGCAAAGGCAACCATGTAAAGCATCCATATCCTATATGATTAAGCAAGAGGGCACTTCCTTTCTCACAACACAATTACCACTGTCAGCAGAGTTTTATTTTAAGGGAGCCTTGACTACAAGGCCACTCCAACCACAAATCTACTGCCCCATACTTTGCCATCAGGCATTACTGGCCTACTTGAACTAGTAATTTGTCAGCTCCATCAAGTTCAGACATGCCACTTATACCATGACCCTTCTTCAAATAAGCCTCTTCGCAAACCCCATAGACTCATGGCCAGGCTTACTGCTCCTCACCAGGGCTCTACCAGAAATGTGGCGGAAGGGAATGGTAAAAGTAACACAGAACAGATCTTGCTTTGTTTTCAGATTCTAGCTGGTTGTTTACCCATCAATCCTTCCAAAGACATAAACTTCTTATAGAGGCAATGAAGGGGAAGGTTTCTTAGTCAGGAACATGCTGGCTTTAAGTTCTTGGCAATTCACTGACCATCTATATACCTGGGTCTCCTCAACCGTAAAATAGGGATAATCTCATTTGTCTCAAAGAGATTCTGTGAGGATGTAATGCACTAATACATGTCTGGCAATTAGTATACTGCAGGACATGGAGAAAGCATCAATAAATGGGGACTGCTTTTATTATGCAGGTGATATGATCCTGCTGCTGCTGCTGATTTTTATCACTACATTATGAACTCCTGGAGGGCAGTGACAGTGCTTGGTTCCTGGTAAGATTCAAACCTAACTTAAACACATGGAAAGGGCGAAAAAGGCTTCCTCATTTCGCTGTTTCCAGATCCTTCCCCATTAAATCAATCTCTAGCACCTACCATTTGCCTAAATTAGGGGTAGGGAAGTGAGATTAAAAACCAGATAGAAGCAAAGAGTGGGAACCACCTGGCAGCACCAGGGGCAATCAAGAGAATTTGCTTTATTATCCTCATGCTCGTGCCCCAGAAAGTCGCAAAGGCGGAGTAAACAGCGCTCCCAGGGCGTCTGGTTGTGGTAACCGGCGTTCAGAAATGGCCAGCGCACACCCTTGGGGACTCCTCCCTCGCCAGCACCGTAAGAGAAGAAAAAAAGGCCCAAACAGTTTTATCAATAGGAGGTGGTTCTCCGGCTCGGGACAGTTTATTTACTCTGACCCTCTGCTCTCACCCCAGCGCCCCACGCCCATCTCCCTGGGCTCTTCTGATGAGGCTCCATCCCGAGGGCCCATCAGGCACTGTCAGCATCCGAACATCTCCTCCGCGCCCCCGGGCCCCGGGCCCCCGCCTCCCCACACCAGCGCCTTTCCAGGGGCTCGAGGCCCCGGAGCCTAGCACCGGCGCACAGGTTCCGTACAGAGCCCGCCCTCAGCTCCCCAGGGCGCCAATTCCGCCTCTCCCGGTGGCCTCGCAGCAGGGACGCTCCGAGTCAAGCACCCTCGGCACGTACACACCCGATTTCCCACGGCCCAGTCACCGTTCGTTCCCTCACCACTGGCTTTGTCAAGAAGCAAACGGCTCAATTGGTACTGACAGAGAGCAACTCGGTCCGCCGCCGCCTTCTCCTCCTCCTCCCGGCCATATTACCGGTCTCAGAGAGCAGCGCGGGCTCCTGGCAACGGCCGCCGCCGCCCCGACTCCACCTCTCCGGGCGGGCACTTCCGGTGGTTGCTTCCAGGGCAGTTGAAACGGTTGGTCCACCAGAAAACTACAATCCCCGAGGTGCATTGCACGCCTGGGTAAGCGTTCTGGTCCAGTGATGGAGGACGTAGTACTTATGAGAGCGTGGTGCACGATGGGAAATGTAGTCTTCACTGCAAGCTAGCGCCTCTACCATTATAATTTATTAGAATGGGAACGGTCCCTTTTTATGTGTACTCGTTGGGAAACATACGACATGCACCAATTTTTTTTTTTCCTGTAAATAAAAAAAATTGCAGAATCCTTGATGCCAACTCTAAAATTTAAGACATCCCTTACCATTTTGCAAATCAGTGGGAAAATAATGTCTGAGAAAGTAACAGGTTCATGATGGCAGGAAAAGCCCAGAATGTTTTGCCAGAGTTCTCTATCAAAACGTGTTACCGGCTTTCCGAAATATGATGTAGTGGCCTCTTTCATTTCCTAACTCGGTTTTACCTCCTGCCTCCTTCCCGTGCATATTATTACATATGTAAAAGGAGTTTTAAAAGTGACTATCACAAGGGTAGTTATGAGGAACAACATAATTCTTTCACAGTGCCTGGTACATAAGTCCCAATATTGGCCCTTAGCAGGTGGAGAAGCAAGGTTAGCAGGAAGAACAGCGGTAGAAAAGCCACCGGCCTAAAACTAGGGTGGCTTGATATCAGTCCAGATTCTGCCGTTAACTGCCCTATTCACTTCACCTCTCCTGGCCTCGGTTTCCTCATCTATAAAATGAGGGAATCATTAAAATCCCTTCCAGCTTTATAATCTGATTATGCCTCCTTGTGCTATGCTCTTTCATTCCCTCCAAATCTGAAAAATCCTTCTAAAGTCGACTGGCTTCAGTCTCATGAGATAATACCTACCCACTGAGGCTATTGTGAGAATATATGAGATAATGCATGAAGCATTTGCTCTCACAGAACCTGGAACATGCTAGGTGCTCTATAAATGTTAGCTGTACTCTCTAACACTCTTATTTCCCCCAGGAGAATGTAAGCCCCGGGACAGCAAGGACCTCGTAAGTCCTGTTCACTGCTGTGTCCTGAGCACCCAGGGTGGTGCCTGGCACACCTTGAATTGAATTGAATAGTCAGAGGCGTCCTGCCCCTTTCAAGGGTCCCTGGACAGTGTCCTCGAGGGCAGAATGAAGGAATCATTAAGATCCCTTGCAGTCGTACAACCGTACAACAGCTCTTGCATCCCTCCCATTCCCGAGTACGAAAGCCGGGCTGATGTCCTGACCCGCAATGACCCAGAAGCCACTTCTGGAACTTGGGCGGGCCTGGGAGTTGGGCCCGCCTCCGTTGCTACCCAATAGCTCCGCCCCCGACCTCTGGAGATCCCTGGCCCTGATTGGCTGGGCTGCTGGCTCCCCCTCCGGGCTCCGACTGCCGCCGCGGCCGCCATTGTGCGGCGCGGTACCCCTCGCAGGGTGCTCGTGCGGTGAGTGCCTTGGGCTCTTGCCCTTGCTTCTGGCTCTCCTGTCCCGGGAGCCCGGCGGGTTCGGGACTCCGGTCCGTGCCGGTGCGGGCGCTGGCATGTGGTTGTGGGAGGAACAGGGGGGCCTCCTGGGCCCCTTCTCCTTCCTGCTGCTGCTGTTACTGCTGGTGACACGCAGCCCCTTCAATGCCTGCCTCCTCACTGGCAGCCTCTACCTCCTGCTGCGCCTCTTCAGCTTTGAGCCTTTGCCCTCCCGCAGGGCCCTGCAGGTACTCAAGCCCCGGGACCGTGTTTCTGCCATCGCCCACCGCGGCGGCGGCCACGACGCCCCCGAGAACACGCTGGCGGCCATTCGGCAGGTGAGCGCCCCCGACTCCTCGCTCGCCGCCTGGGAGCTTGGACTTCTGCTTATCTTCCCGAAGGTTCCCCAGTCATCTCACGATAGCCCTCCCTCTACCCCGTGCGTCTGCCAGGAAGACATGGAAGTGGCCCTCGATCCCTTTGAAGCCTGGAAAGCCTCCCAACTTCAAATATTTATAGAACACAGCAAGTCCTTACGTTCTTGCTTTGTGCCGGACACAGCATGCAGTCACGAACAAGGCAAAAAGGGTCCCTGCTTTCGCAAAACTTGCATTGGAGTCAAGGAGACAGGCCTTAAGCAAGTAAATACATAAATGAGACACTTGAAGAGAGCGAGAAACGCAATGAAGAAGTAGGGTAATGGGATAAGGAATGCCTGATAAAACCACAAATGTAAGCGCTTTGGGCCAAGAATCTATAGATTAGGTCACTTTGTGGCTCCCTCTTACCTTGTGGCCTTTGTATTATACTTGCCATTTGTTCTGCTTGGAAAACTCTTCTTCTGGATCTCTGTATGGTTGACTCCCTTTTGTCATTATGGTCTCAGCTCAAATGTCAATATTCTTAGAGAGGCCTTCCCTAGCTGCTTTAGGACATTACCTTCTATTTTCTTTTTCAAAACAGTTGTCACTGTCGTAATTTATTTGTATGTAACATGATTGTAGTCTGTTTCTCCCCCCTAAAATATAAGATCTCTGATCCTATTCTTTCTTGCTCACCACTCTCCCCTCACTGCTGATACATAGTATGCACTTAATAAGTATTTGTTATCTGGAAAATGCAAATCAAAATCACAATGAAATACTGCTTCATACCCATTAGGATGGCTATAATAAAAAACAAGTGTTGGTGAAGATATGGAGAAATTGGAACTTTCATATACTGCTGGTGGGAAAACAGCCTGGCAGTTCCTCAAAAGGTGAAACAGAGAGTGCTGTATGATCCAGCAATTCCATTCCTGGGTATATACCCAAAAGAATTGAAACATAAAAAATTGTATACAAATGTTTATAGTGTTATTCATAGCCAAAAAATGGAAACAATGCCCTGCCGAGTGGCTCAACTGGTTGAACATTGCTGAGCACTGCAAGGGTGCTGGTTCAGTTACCAGTCAGGGCACGTACCTGGGTTGCAGGTTCCATCCTTGGTTAGGGCACTGATGGGCCGCAACGGATCAGTGTTTCTCTCTCACATCCTCCCTC